ACTGGTTTTAAGCACGTTATTTGTATTTCTTTTGATTCTTATAATTGTACATAGTAGGTAGTATTTATATTTCTTTTATAATTGAAGAAAAGGAGGTAAAGCTAAAATAACACAGTCCTCAGGGTGCCTGGGTGGCTCAGTGGTTTGAGCATCTGACTCTTAATTTTGGCTCAGGTCATGACCTCATGGTTTGACTCAGGTCATGATCTTCACGGTTCATGAAATCATTTCCTGCATCAGGGGTTCTGCGCTGATAGTGTGGAGCCTGCTTGAAATTTTCTCTCTCCTTCTCTCTCTCTCTCTAAAAATAAATAAGCATAAAAAAATAACACAGTTCTCACTTCTCAGGAAATTGGGAAGCAAGTGTTGGAATCCCTGTTTCTCAGGCTTTGGGAGTTCTGTGGTCACAACAGATCCTCCATTTCCCCATTTTCTTGTCCCCAGTTGGTGGCTGAGGAGCCAGCCCGGCAGGTGGGAGTTAATGAGGATTCCATATACTGTGGGAGTGTCCTAGCCTCCTAAACCATAGGTTCCTCCTAGAATAGATCACAGGGAGAAGACAGGGGAAGAACAGAAGGAAAAGAGCAAGAGAGAGGGAGATTTGGGGGACCTTAGAGGACACTGCTTTGTGCCTGCCCAGATCTATTTCACCATCCTCTGGAACAGCAGCCCAATTTTCCTTTTGGACCTCCCTCTTTCCCTTCACTCAGTCTCTGGGGTGCTGGTGGGGCTACATGGGTGGCCATGTGACTCAGGCCTGGCCAATCAGGGAAGTCCTTACCACCAAGTCAAGCTAACCATCATGAGACTCAGGATTTAGCTGAGACTATTAGTATAGACATGTGCTTTTCCCACTGAGGCTGTACTAGCTATAGAATATGTTTTGAATGCTGGAGGCCATCTTGACATCACATGGGAAGAGCTCATCTGAGAATGAAGTAAACCAGAAGATGGTGGAGACAAGGGATGGAGTGATGGGTAATTTTAAGAGCCATCTTGGCTAGGCCACAGCACACATACATTTGGTCAGATATATCTGGATGTTGCTGTATGGGAATTTTTTAGATGAAATTCATATTTAAATTAGTAGATTTTGGTGTGCTTGGGTGGCTCAGTCAAACACCTAACTCTGGACTTCTTCTCAGGTCATGATCTCACAGTTTGTGAGATTGAGCCCCATGTTGGGCTCTGTGCTGACAGCTCTAAGCCTGCTTGGAATTCTCTCTCTTCCTTTCTCTCTCCACCTCTCCCCTCTCAAAATAAATAAATAAACTTAAATTAGTAGATTTTGTGTAAAGATTATCCTCCATAATGTGGGTGGGCCTCATCTAATCAGTTGAAACCCTTAATAGAAAAAAGACTGATATCCTCTGAAGAAGAGAAAATTCTGCCTTCAGAATGCCTTGGGACTTGAGCTGTACCATCAACTCCTCCCTGGGTCTCCAGCCTTCTGGTCTACCCTGCAGACTTTGGACTTGCCAAGCCCCACAAGTGTGTACACTAATTGCTAAAAATCTCTCTCTCTCTCTTTCTGTCTCTGTCTCTCTGACTCTGTCTCTGTCTCTGTCTCTCTCTCTCTCGTGTGTGTGTGTGTGTGTGTGTGTGTGTGTGTGTGTGTGTGTGTGTTTCTTTGAAAACCCTTGTTTCAGATGGCCCATCAGATTCCTGGTGTCACTGCTTTAACACTTGATCCATCCAGACATGACATCAAAAACTCTTGGATTTTTCACTTAAGTGGCCATCTTGAATTGGATTTCTGTCACTTACAACCCAGAGGGTCCATCTCAGGAGGAAGCAGGAGCTCGCCCTGACTGAGCTCTCATTCCATGCCAGGCCCAGTGTTCCCCTTTTACCATTGATCTGGGCTTTGAAGGATGCTTAGAAGTTCACATGGGCATGAGGAGGACAAGGCAGAGTGAACATGTGCAGAGACACAGAGAAGTGATAGAACATGGCCAGCCCTGGAAACCAGAGTTCAGTGTGGCTACAGTGAAAGATGTGATTAGCAAAAGACCAGAGTGAAGAAGCTGTCGGGTAATGTAGGATTTTGAATGCCAGGCAGAGGAGTGTGACTTTGTCCTGAGTACAGCATGGACAGCAGTGGAGTTTGAAGGAGAGCCAGGTGTTGGCTGGTTCATTCTGCAGTGTGAAGGACACCGTGAAGCAGAGACAAGATAGAAGCAGAGAGGAATTATTTTATGGCTGGAGTTTTTCCTAATGCCCTCGAAACCACGTTCTGTGTGCTGTTTCTTTCTCATCAGGTAGGGTAGCATGGTGGTTAATGATATGGACACATCCTGGCTCTGCCGTTTAATGTCTATTTGACCCTGGGCATGTAGTAATTTAAGTCTTGCTGCCTCAGTGTCCTCAGTGCAGAGAACATCATTGTCCATCTGCCTGTCAGTAATGTCTTACAATGATTAAATGTCACTCTATGCTTAGTGCTTGACACGTAGTAAACATCTAGAAGTTAGTAGCAATCTTACTTCTACCGAGGCCAGTGGGTAGGCCCATAGGCTGCAAATCCTGGGTCCCAGGAGGACAGTGTGGCAGGCTCTCTGGCCCTCTGCCCTCTGCCTCTGCCACCCCCACCTGCCTTTCCCAGGGGGTCACTCCTGCTCCCTCCAGTTCTCACAGAGGCATGGCCAGCCCGGGCCCCAGGGAGCTGGGAAGGGTCATAGCAGGGACAGGAGGAGAAAAGGGCTTTCAGCTCTGGAAACAGATTCTTATCCACATCGTAGCCTGGGGAGTTAGGCTGAAATGGGTGAAAACCAGCTTCCTAGCCCTGCACAGGCCCAAAAGGGGTGTCTTGGAAGCTTAGACGCTGTAAACTTGACCCTTTTACTCTGACTTCCAAATGCAGAGGTGAGAAGCTCAAAGCAGGCTCAGCATCCCCAGGGACTGGCTGTGGGAAGCAAGTTCAATGAGATGGATAAAATGCTAAAAGTTCAGAGTCAAAAGTCATCCTTGAATTCCCAGCCTTCTTAATTATTTTCCCCACTGTATGGTACAGTAGAAATGGCAGCCGTGCCACCAACTTAGGCAGACCCTGGATGACCTCCTTGGCCTCAATTTTCCCAAATACCCAAAGATGGGTGTTAGAGTCAAAGGCGGCAAACGGAGTTCACCTTGTGGAACAGATTTCATCAGTTATTGCTGGCTGCCTGGCCGGTTGGCTAGAGCCCTGGGACAGAAGAAGCAATGTCGGTCGTGCGCAGGGAGGGGAAAGAGTGGCACATGGGCGGGCAGTCAGTGGCCCGGAGGGTTTGTCTGGGCACTGACGTGGAATCTCATGTCTGGTCCAGTCCCCTCGGTGGACTCTGGCTTCAGCAGTGTTCCTCATGGCCCCCACAGAAGGTTGGTGACAACAGTGCTGTCTACCTTATAGAGTTAAGGGGAGCAGAGGAATGTAGTGCTTAGAACAGTACCTGACACGGGGTGCCCGGTTGGCTCAGTCGGTTAAGCGTCTGACTTTGGCTCAGGTCATGATCTCACAATTCGTGGGTTCGAGCCCCGTGTCAGGCTCTGTGCTGACAGTTAGCTCAGAGCCCGGAGCCTGCTTCTGATTCCGTCTCTCTCTCTCTCTCTCTCTCTGACTCTCCCCTGCTCATGCTGTGTGTCTCTCTCTCTCTCAGAAATAAATTAAAACATTTAAAAAAAGAAAAAAAACCCAACAGTACCTGACACACAGTCAGTGCTATCTAAGTGTTGGCTGTTGTCTCTAGGCTCCTCGGGGGGCTATGCACCAATTCCCATCACTGCAGTTTGAGATGGATACCAGGGTCCAACCAGGCCCAGCACATAGTAGGTTATCAGCAAAGATGAGTCCCCTTCTTTTACCTTCATCTTGGAATTGTCTCCAGAGCCAGGTTAGAGGCTAGATAAGAAAACACAGAGAATTCCTCAATGTGGTTGCTGTCTCTGGGTGCCAGCTATTAGAGGGTCATTGTGGCCATTGTGGCTTTGTCTCCACTAAGATCAAAAAGTCCAGCAGTCTCTCACTCTCTGCCCCTTTCATTGAATACGACTCACTCTGCACAGTCCCTGCTGTTTTAGCAGTCATGTTGGGTGGGTCATGACCCCGTCCCTGCCCAACCTCAGCTGATTGGACCTAAGATTGGTCCCTGGCCCCAGGGTAAATCAGCCTCAGGTAGATCAGCCCAATAAGATTCTGCCTGGGGAATTGGGAATTGGGAAATGGAGACTAAGGTGGGGGAGGGGAGGGCAGGTTGGTGGAGCTACAGTTAAAAGGTGTAAGATTATATTGGCCGAGGTCAAGCTGAGCTCTGAGGACACAGGGGAATTGGTGGCAGAGACAGGAGGCCTCAACTGAGAGCCGCTGATCAGAAACACCTGGAATCAGAACCACCTCCCATTTCCAATTAGGATGCCTGGGGACACCGTGTGTCCTAGTATTGAGTACCCTGATAACCCCTCCCCTCCCCTGGAGCTAGCCTGAGAGCCTCCCTGGGCCCTGTAACCAGGGGGGCATTGACTTACCTGACACCCTCCTGCCTCAAGTCCTTGCCTCCTTCCATGATTTTCCACTGGATGGAATTTCACAGACAGAATGGACCCCCTGCACCTGCCTCCCTCCCTAGTATCCCGTCTTAGTGACTTTAGGAGAAGCAGCTATTGTCATGCTGTCCCTGAGTGAATCTGGGGCATCCCATACTTAGAGGTAACCCTCTGGGGCTCCTGCCTACAACTATGCTTTCTAGCTTCGTTTGCTGCCATCTTTCTCTGAAGAGACATCAAACCAAGCCAAGCCCATCTTCTGCTGCTCCCGCCCCACTTGCTTGAAGCCAGCCACTGGCCATTTGATCGTGCCCTCATGTCAGACCCAGATTCCAGAGCTGGGTCCTATTTCCTACTCTTCAATAAGGGCCAAGTCCTCGTGTTTTGTTTGTTTTGGTAATTTTTTTTTTTTTCAATTTGAGAGTCTTGAATCTGCTGCCCCAATCCACACTCACTTCTGGAAGTTGGAAAATAAAGCTGTTTATTTTGTTAATGAGTTTGGAGGAAGGTTTGTGGCAGAAATTAGCAGAAGCAAGAGGAGAGGGAGGGGAGAGAAACCCAGGATTCAAGGCCTGTTCAAATTCAAGGGGGTAGTGTCCCAGTGTTGGGAGAAACCAAGTTCACAGGGCTGGGAGAAGAAATGAGAGTCTGCATCCCAGGGGCCCTCTTCAGAATGGCTACTTCCTCCCTCCATGGTGGCCGTCAGAGGAGTGGCCTGCGGGGTTACTTCCGGAGCCCTACTTCAGGGCCGGCGGGAGTCTGACATCCCTGGGTGCTGGCCGTAGGTTTCAAGGATGCCTACAGGCTGGCATCTCCCAAGGCTGGTTCCAGGCTTTGTGTTTGGGTGAGTCCAGAGCTCGCTGACTTCCAGGGGTGAATTTGCCTTCTCCTTCTGCACTTCAGAAGAAGGTCCTGTGGGGAAGAGGAAGCAGACCAGGCGGGTGCAGGCCTTGTGGGTGCACACGCAGCCCGGGGCAGGGGCTGACAGCAGGCAGCACCAGGCAGGCCCCACGCGGCCCCACAGCAGCCACAGCCACAGCACACAGGAGGCCAGGGAGAAGGGGTGGGATGAGACAGGAGGGGGCCAGAAGGCAGTGTGGGGCCCCTCACAAAGAGCATGTGACCAGTGGCAGAAAACAGAGGGACATCGAGGCCATCCCAGAAGCCAGGGCACAGCAGGCCCACTGTCTTGGGAGCATGAGGCCCTCATGTTTTGAGAAACTTGTAACAGAAAAGTCAACAAGTCCAGGCCTGGGTCTGCCCCGTATGCTGCCAGCTGCGGGCCTTGGGCCACACCAAACACCAGTTTCATGGCCACCTGCCAGCTCTGTCCATGAGCACAGCTCTGTCACAGAGTGGGAAACACATCCCCAAACTGGGCTCCACAGTGTTCCACAGAGGACACTGTCAAGGGAGCTTGAGCCAAGGAAGAGAGAAGGCACAGGGGACAGTTTGGTCCAAGCAGGGCTTAAGCCATGACAAGTCACAACAGGACATGAGCAGCTCAGATAGGCCAACCCTGGTTCTTTGGACCAGCCTTAGTTGCCTCTTAATTGCCCCGGCTCTGCCCAAGCCCAGGGGGCCGGTAGAGCAGGGGCTCCCAGAGGGTGGCGTTCCCAGGGAAGGGAGGCACATTTCGCTGAGGGCACCTCTGGGGGGGGTATCCAGGCTGTACTTCCTGTGGGCTCAGCCAGCCCATATGCACTGTCTGTGCCCAGTAGAGAATGGTGCTCACTGCCCATCCTGCTTGTGTGGGAGCTGCATAGGACCCGTGGCTGCTCTCAAGGTCTCCGGTGAGTCAGGATACTCGGGTCCCGAGCATGCTACAAACTGGGCTCTGCTTGGCTCCCCCGAGTGGGAGGGTCTTTGAGGTGGATAGAATTCCAAGGTGGCTCACAGCAGGCCTGGATGGCACTTCAGGGGTGGCGCCTTGTACAGCTTTCCAGACACCAGTCCAAAGAACCTGCGAGCACCAGCAGCAGACGGCCACTACATGCAGCATGGACAGACAGGGCCCTGCAGCCCGCCTGCCTATTCACCATGGGGGGCTGCCAGGCTCCAGCTGCAGGAGGAGCCCGTGTCTATGCACGGGAGCACGGTCTTCAAGGAACTTTCGGACCGGCTGGGGGCTTTCGGCTGCAGAGGAGGGAAGAGAAGAGCTACATACGCAGAGCAGAGCAGGAAACACAAAACATGGCTTGGTTATTTCCAGGCAGAGCTCCATCAGATCTCTCTCTTCACTTAGCTACCGTCTCGGGTCCTACCTAGGCCCTGGGTCCAGAATTAATTGCTACAAGACCTTGATTTCTCCAAGACATACACACAACTCAGCCGGTGCTGGGCAGAGGAAGCAAGCAGGCACCACCCAGACAGGCAAGCAGTGGGGTGAGGAATAAGTGAGGAATAAGGAGCGGGGCGGGGGGGGGGGGGCGCGTGAGAATCAGGATGGAAGCCAGACACCAGAGAGGCAGAGAGACAGACAGACAGAGGAGAAACGGATACACAGTAACAAAGAGAGAAGAGCACAGACTCAGGTAAGGAATGGAGAAAGCAAGAAAAGGATAGGGTAAGAGAGAAAGGGCATATATAGAGAGAGACAGACAAACAGAAACATAGAGCAAGCTGGAGGCTGGCCCAAGGCTCCCTGAAGATCCTACAGGATGTGGTCCTGGCTGCTTAGAGACTCAGCATGAGGGAATGCAGTTACCTACCAGGAAGAACTTTTACCGGACAGTAAAAGACACAGAAATCTGTAAACTAGCTGATGATGGTGCAGGGGATGAAGTCCCAAGTGGGGAATCAGAAATCCTGAGTCTGTCCCAGATTCAATGTTTACCTGGCCTGAGATCTTGACCACCTCTGGGTCTTAGTTTTCCAAATGCCAAGAAGAATTTGGACAAGACAGTCGTGGAGGCAGCTCTGACAATACTTGGGGGCAATGACTTAGTTCTAGGCTTTCTCTAACCCGGGCGCTTTTTAGGATCAATTACTCCTAGAAGCTGTGTGCTCGGACTGATCCTTCAGGCTGGATGAAAGCTGGGGACAGACTGGGAGAAGGCGGCCAAGATTGTGGAGGAGGAGAAAGAGGAAGGAGAGGGCCAGGTACCGCACACACTTACAACTCGTCATCATACTCCTTGGGGGGACAGACGGCAACGACGAGGTCGATCCAGTCCTGTGGGGAGAGGCCCTGTGACTCTGGGGCATGCTCAGGGATTGATGGCATGTCTTCCCTTGACATTCCATTCCCATTCCTGGTGGCTCAAGGCCAGCCGTCTGGGGCCTTCTTGCCATGGGGAAGCTTCTAGTCTCTGGGGCTTCATGACCATAGAGCCTAAGGTTTACAAGCCCTTGAATGACACTAAGTTCTTCCCAAATGCTGATCTGTGGTCCAGGGCTGGGAAGCAACCTCAGAATCACCTGGGTGATTTCTTAAAACTCTAGACTAGTAGACTTGCCCCTGGAAATCAGGGGTAGGTCCTGGGAAATAGTGTTTTTAACAATCTCCCTAGACCATTCTGAGGCACATCCAATCAGGGAACTTCAGCTTGCTGACCCTAACACTTGAATCCCCTCACTGGCATCATTGCCATCCTCCTTGGCTCATCCATCATTGTCCACCCTTGGCTTGGGTGTATCCCATAAAAAGTACGGGAAATATCACTGGGCCCCTCTAACATGCAATATAGCTCCTACCAGTAAACTGAAAGCTCTCCCCAGGGCCTCCCTCCATCCAATCCAGTTCTGCCCTTAAGAAACACAGAGAACACTTCTGCTCCCTCTACCCTAATGTAGCCCTTCAGATAATCAAAGATGGTCATCGTGTTACCCGCGAGTCTTCTCTTCTCCATATCCCTTCATGTGGGTCCCAGGCCCATCTGGTCAGCATCCTCGGCACTGAACTTAATACCTCAGGCTCGGCTGCCTGCATACAGTTGCACAGGTTGTGCATTGCACAACATGAGAGGGCACCATCCACACTGTAGTCTGCAGGAGAACACCCCCTCGGATTGTGCAGTGCAAAGCCAGGGAAACCTTATGTGGTGACCTTGACCCAGGTGGCTGTCTAATGAGCACAGAACAGACTACCACCAGACCCTCCTCCATTTTGGGCCCTCTGTTTCTTTTAATGGTTTCTAATAGCCCCGAGCACCGTTGATTCCTCATCAGTGTGCACTTTGAGAAGACCTTGCCACACCTGGTCTTCTGGAGTCGGTATGTGTGCCATCTTTATTTTGGACTCAAGGCCAGGAACTGACATTTATTTTTCTGAATCCCATCTTGTCATATTGAAACCATTGACTGGATGTGTTATATGAGTGCCACCCAAGAATTTCCGGGACCCTGGACACCCGCCCTGGGATGGGGCATCCTGACTCTGAGGCCTGGCCGCAGAGGCCAGGGTTTGAGGCAGGCAGGCAGGGGAGGCAGACAGGCAGGGGGGTTGCTCTTACCCCCTGACTCCAGGCCTTCTGCAGGGTGGCCTCTGCCTCAGCCAGGGTGTAGTCCGTCACAGTCTTGCCATTGATCGCCATGACCTCATCCCCTTTCACAATGCCACCTGCAGGAAGATGAGACTGGTCAACTGGCCTGTCCGTGACATGTGCGTGTCCCAGGGCTTGGCAAAGGTGAGGGGCAGGGGGTCACTGTACGGCCGCAGAAGGAACCTGACTCCTTAATCCTGGGATGGGCTCAGAAAGCATGAGGGGAACAGCCCACTAGGTTACTCAAAGGGCACTTCCTACCCACCCTGTCCACACGCCCTCACCCCAGCTCAGCGGAGGCAGGATGCCAGTGGTGAGCCATTGCCACCCTAGCCTTTGCCCAGGCCTCTACTATGACAGAGGGAGGCAGACCTGTGTCACCCACGAGGCTACCAGAAACATGAGCTAGTTCTGTGAGCTCTCCCTGTGTGTGCTTCAGCCCTGCCAGTCTGCATCAGGCCCCTGAGCGGGCTGAGCTCTCTCCTGCCCCAGATCCTTCACATGCTGTTCCACCTGGGACCCTGGCTGCTTCTCTTCCTTCTCTTCGAGTGCTCAGATAAAATCAGCACCACGTCTGATGCCTCCTCAGAGAAGACTGCTCTGACCCACACACAATCTCTAGCAGAACTTTCCTATTATTCGCCCATAGCATCCCAGTCTTTTCCTGCTCAGCATTTTCACAATTAATAATCCTGGTTGGTTGATGGTCCCTCCCACCAGACGGTGAGTTCCATGAGGGCAGAGCCTGCCTCTTGGTTGGCTGTTATACCCCTAGCACTTACCGTAATACCTGGCATAAAATAAGAATTCAGTACATTTCTTGAATACATGAATGATGTTAAAGGTCTTCCTGGATACGATGACCTATTGTCTAATAAGTTTGGGAAAAGCTGAGTTATAAGCTGAGCAGAGTTATTCACTGCAGGACTTGTCAGAGCCTTGCACATGCTACTATGTATTGTGGCTCTCCAAGAAGCGGGTAGATTTTGTGCATGGTTTCTCATACATCTTCAACTTCAGAACCTTAAACAAGCTTTTTTAAGGAATTTCTCTCAGTTCTGCTGTCCACAGAACATTCTGTGGATTATGTTGAAATAGATCACCCAGATGCCTTGCAGGCCTGAGGCCACAGGAATGTGGTGTGTGTTACTGAACATGGTATGGCAGTGGCTTAAAAACACATCTGCTTCTGGAGAAACTTTCTTCAGCTGCTGGTAATTCCCAAGCAGCGTGGGACCAGACTATAGGCAGCAGTTTCCTCTGGCCAGTGGGCCCGGAAACGGGTGACTTTCACTTTCTCCTTTTGTACAAACACAAGATGGAGCCTCAGGAGCAATAAGGCAGTGGTTGGGCTGGAGCTTTGTAAGGAAGGGCAGGCCCCTGGAAAAGTCATCCATTTATTCTGGTCCTCTTTCCCTGCCAGACACAGCAGATGGGTATCTTCCCCGAAGATGTGCCAGATGGGCTGGGAGGGTAGCAGTGGGCCGTGGCGGTTGCCTACCTGAGCAGGCCCCACTCCACAGCTGAGATGAAGGCTCAGAGTGTGGCTGTGAGAGGCCCAAGGTCATCAGGGGGCCATAGGTGGTGGACCTGGACTCGCCTTTGTAACCCACAGAAGCCTGGCTGCCAGCAGCCTGGTGACTGGCCCAGCACTCTGCCACCTGCCCATGTTATCACCCACCCTTCATTCTGTCTGCAGCCTAGCACTGCCCAGGAGGGATCTGACCATGGGATTCCTGCTCTGTCCTGGAAAGGAGAGGGGCCTGAGGCTCCTCCTTCAAGTCCACCGATTCCTTCACAGAAGACTCAAGAGTACTGGAAAGGCTCCTGGACTTGGAAGAAGAAATTACTGGGGCGCCTGGGTGGCTCAGTCAGTTAAGCATCTGACTTTGGCTCAGGTCATAATTTCATGGCTTGTGAGTTCGAGCCCCATGTCGGGCTCTGTGCTGACAGCTCAGAGCCTGGAACCTGCTTCGGATTCTGTGTCTCCCTCTCTCTCTGCCCCTCCCCTGCTCATGCTCTGTCTGTCTCTCTCCCTCTCTCTCTCTCTCGAAAATAAATGTTTAAATTTTTTTTTTTAAAAGTCACTAATGGTGAGTTTCAGACACTGGCAGGTAAGTGGGCTTAAGACAAGAAAAAGCAAAATGACAAAACTGCTTGGATTCAAGTCCTACCTCCACCACTTACCAGCCATGGGTCCTTGAACAAACATGAGACCTTTCTGTGCCTTAGTTTCCTAAGCTGTAAGATGAGAGTAATAACAGTACCTGGTTCTGGTGTTGTCATAGGGTTAATGAGTTAATGAATGCTTTAGACAGAGTAGGTGCAGGTACTTAGAAGAGCATCTGGGGCATGGTGAGTTCTTGACAGATGTCGGCCCCTATTTTAAAAGGACAGGGATGGGGCGCCTGGGTGGCTTAGTCAGTTAAGCGTCCGACTTTCACTTAGGTCATGATCTCGCGGTTCGTGGGTTCGAGCCCCGCGTCGGGCTCTGTGCGGACTGCCAGCTCAGAGCCTGGAGCCTATTTCAGAGTCTCTGTCTCCCTCTCTCTCTGACCCTCCCCTGTTCATGCTGTCTCTCTCTCTCTCTCCTAGAAATAAATAAAAACATTTAAAAAAAAAAAAAAAAGGACAGGGAATGGGGCACCTGGGTGGCTCAGTCGGTTAAGTGTCGGACTTCGGCTCAGGTCATGATCTCACAGTTCGTGGGTTCGAGCCCTGCGTCGGGCTCTGTGCTGACAGCTAGCTCAGAACCTGGAGCCTGTTTCAGATTCTGTGTCTCCTTCTTTCTCTGACCCTCCCCTGCTCACACTGCCTCTCTCTCTCTCTCAGAAATAAATAAAACATTAAAAAAAAAGTTAAAAGGACAGGGAAGGTTTTGATGGTTTTTTTCCTGCCTTTACATGTGCTCTCCCCTCTTCCTGGAAGGTTCTTTCCCATCGTTATGAGGCTAACACTGACTTATCTTTTAAAGCTCAGCTCAAGTATCACCTGGAGGACAGGGTGGGGTGGGGTTCACTGCATACCCATAGTCCTGGCACTATCATATGCCCACAGACAACATGTGGGACTCAGTGGATTGATGGATCCATCCAGATGGCAGGGAATTCTTGAGCGATTGTCAGCCCCCTCAGGTCAGCAGCTGTGTGCTTTCCTGAGGGGCCTTGTATACTACTGCACCATCCCCAAACTGGGGCATAGCTGGCCGCCACTTACCATGCCGCTCCGCAGCTCCCCCCTCATACACAGCCGAGACGACCACCTTCCCAATCGGGGAGTCCACACCGCCTTCCAGGGCCAGATCTAAGGATCCCTCCTGGGTAGGGAAAAACAGGCCTTAAGGAGCCACGCATACAGCAGCCCATGGGCACCTATGGGCCTCAACAGGGCTATGGAGAGGGAAGGAGAAGCCATGGGGCCAATGGCAGTGCCATCAGGGAAAAGGGGGCACGGACGCTAAGTGGGGCCAGGGTATGTCGTCCCACCATAGAAGGGGACATCCACAGGGGAGAGAGGAGAAGAAAGGGGATCTGAGGAGTTACCCAAGAGTCAACTCAAGAGTAGGAGAAGCAGGAGACCAAGATGGAAAGGGGCTGGGGCATAGAAGGGTGGTGGCTGCCTGACGTCCATGTGCCACGTACCTTCTTAATGCGCAGGAGCCGGACATCCTTCCCTATGATCTGCTCTGGGGTGAACTAGAGGGAACAGAGTTGGAAGCTTTGAGTCAGCCTGCAGGGTAAGGGTGGGGCCCCACAGAGTACATGGACAAGGAGACGATTCCCAGCTCCACACCCATCGGTCTTCAACTGAGGGGTCCCAGACCTCATGTGGGCCACAGGAATACAAACCACACACAGAGGTGGCCACGCAAGTCCCAGATCCATTATTTCTGAGAATATCGTGAGGGCTGGCCGGGGCATGCCCCCCAGCAAACCGCACAGCACCTGGTGCATAGTGCTCACTCAGCACTGCTGTTATAACCTTCCTGGGCCCCAACGCACACAGACACCAGCCCTGTGGGTCAAACCAGAATGCTGTTTTGAAAGAAGCCTTCCTCCCAAAGACCAGTCGGGGATCCGTGGGGCTCCTCACGTGTCCCACCTCATACCCGGGACCCACAGGGCTCAGAACGTACCACCACTGAACACACTGTAATCCCCCATCCCCATTCCTGGGATTACTCCCCAGGGGAGGAGACTTATCTCTCACCATGGAGTAGGGGTCAAAGTCTTCCTCATATTTCCGGAAATCCTGGAAGCAAAGGGAGGGTGTGAGGGCCACAGAGCAGAGTTCCCGGAGGGTCACGCAGGAAACAAGCTTAAGGCAGAGGAAGAGGTGTGAATGGGTCAGAGGTAGGGGAGAGCGAGCATGGGGGGGGGTGGGGCAGCTGTGGCCTGGGTGCGGATGCAGGGAGGAGGCAGGAAACCCCAATAACCAGAGCGCCCCTGCCTGGGGAGAAGCAGGAAGCTATGACGGCGTTTGAAGGAGCCTAGCCCTGGACCCTGCACTACTCCAGCGGGGTGGGCGTCTGTAGCTGGTTGAAGCACTCACTGCCATCCAGATGGTCTGAGCAGCCAGTGTCGGCCTTGCGGAAGGTGTCATCCGCCCACAGCTTCGTGGCATTCGGGCCCTATCTGAGTTCCACCAGGGACCCATGAGAGGCCCAGTTCAGGTTCTGGGGGTGAAGCCCAGCTTGTCTCCACCCAGTGCTCTGACCCCAAAGAAAGACAACACTGCGCAAGAGGTTGCTCTCCCTGGGGAATCCGCCACAAGACGACTGGGGGGAGGGGAGCAAAGGATTGTCAGGCTTCAGGAGGAATAGGGGTGTCTGTGCTTCCCCGTGCCCAGCACTATTCTATATGTAATGCTTATCTAGAATGTAAGAGGCCTCCCCATAATCTTAGCCAGGGGAGGGTAGGAAGGAGACAGAGCTCAGGGGCTCTGGCTTGGGGAGGGCTGTGGGACCAGTATTCCCAAGAGGTAAACACAAGCTGGCAAGAAGGAAGATGGGGGGCAGAGTCAGCACACACTGCCTTCCTAGGAATTGTGCACAGAGAACGGGAGCCTGGGGTCCACAGACTGAGGGTCCAGGCATGCCGAGTCCTAGGGCAGCAAAGCCATAGTTCATCCCCATGGGCAGGGGGGAGCACCCAGTGGCAGGGCCCACACGGGCCCTGTTGGACTAAGTTGGACACAGTTCCCTAGGCCACACCAAGTGTCCCCGCAGGCCTGTGGCCAGCAGCATGGAGAGGCCACTTCCCTCTCTACACCCAGCATGCAGCAACCAAGCTCTGGGCACAGGACGAGGACGAAGTATCAGCAGACAGGGAGGACCAAACTCCCTGGGCATCAGTCTGCCCTCCCTCCTCATTAGTCTTCATCGCCAGGCTCAGCCCCAAGAGCCTGAGAGTCCAGAGGCTGGCCCAGCTCAGAGGCCAGTCCCAGGTCAGTCTGTGGGTGGCAGATGGCAGACAGAGGAAGGGATGCAGCAAATCCACAGGCACGAGAGGTCACTAGGCAGGATATTGAGTTAATGCTCTTTCACTGAGGGCTCTGACCACTTCTGGCTGTTTCTTCTGGAAAACTGGATAGTGCTGGCTGTGGGCTTCCCCTTTTTCCTCCCTGTGAGAATCTGCCCTCAGGATGGGCCAGATGGCAAGTGTTTGTGTCTTGTGTGAGTTTAGATCATAGACTTATAAGCCACTACAGCTGGTCAGCCCTTGAAGAGGGAGGCCAACCCTTCATCCAAGAGACGGAGAAACTGAGGCCCAGAAAGCTGACATTTATGCCCAAAGTCATCCAGCCAGGGGGTAATGGAACCAGAGTTTGACTTCCAGTCTAGGTCCTTGCACTCCTCACCGTCCAGCCTCTCTCCCTTTGAGGGTTGTCTGTACCCTAAACAAGGCCCTTAAATGTCTGTCTCATAATCACAGTGCTTTGAGAGGCAGGATGGTGCAGCAGGCAGAGCCTGACTGTGGGTCACCTGACCTCCTGGATGCAAATCCAGGGTCGGACAGTAGCTGTGCCCTCATGGGCATGTTTCCTAACCTCTCTGTTTAAGCCTGCAGTTAACATCGGTGAGGTTGGCTGCAAGATCCTTCTCTGTCTTGGGATCTCGTTCACTGGTGGTGACACAGCCAGCCCATTGGCTGGCTCTGTGAATATGAGCCCCCAGGAGGGGGTAAGGTAAGTGACTGCCTGTCAGATACCCCTCATGAACCGGGAGAAACATCCATATCCTTGTGCACAGGAACACGCCAGGCAGGTGGAGGGTCTGGGCTACTACGTCCTCCCTGCCTGGTCCAGTGCCAAATACAGCCGTGATCGGCCTTGAGGGGACAATACAGGGGAGGGGCAAGGAGACACCTCGGGCCACCCTTTATTTTCTCCTAGAGCTGGAGCGAGGGCCCATCTTGGCCTCGGTGACCCTCTGAGGGGTCCCTCTGCCCTGCTCTTCTTTAAACAAATGTAGCCAAAGAGCAGGGCTCTCAGGGATGCTGCTGCTTTCTTAGGTTGGGATGCGGTCTAGTAAAACCAGGGTCCCCTCCTGATAGGAGACCCTTCCCAACTCCCGGCTGCAGGCAAATGGAACACAGCTCTGGCCTGAGGCTCTGGCAGATGGTAGTTGGGCCTGCCTCAGAGCCAAGTGGCACTCCTGGCAGTGAGAGAAGTCAGAGTGGGAGGGATGGGGGTGGCGGGGAGGACTGCAGACACACGACAGGTATCGCTTTACTTGTCTGAACGCGGTCTGATAAACCACCATCCTCTTCAACATCTCCTGTGGCTGCCAGAAAAAAAAAAAAAAAAAAAAAAGAAAGTTCCACGCTGGACATTACCAATAGGTCTCGCCTGCCCTCTGGTGCCAGACCTTGGGCCCGCCAGCCTGGGGCTGCCCTGCCAACCTCCCTCCCCAAATAGACACAGCCTGATTTATGTCAGGGGCCTGCCCGACGCCCCCGGACACAGCAGCTGTGCAGTTCAAGTCAAACGGACACCACTAGTTGTCGCCAGCCAGAGAATGCAACATGGATGCGCCAGCAGGTTATGGCAGGGGCACGAACTTTGATCTTTGGGAAGCTGACAAGACAGCAAAAGCTCAAAATAAGAATCTGAGCTGTCTTGCCCTGACATTTGGGTAGGGTTTCCTTGAAAGGGGAAGAAAAAGTCTGGCATGACTTTCTTCTCACTGTGGGTGGGAGGCCAGTCTGTGCCTGGCACTCCTGGGACGTGAAGATTACACGAGTCAGCTGGGTGGTGGGCAGACTCTATTGCCCCCCACCCCTACCCCTCACTCCCAGTCCAGTGAGGAGTGAGAGACGAGACAGAGAAACTGAGTGGACCCACTTTGACCAATTTTACACCTGAGGGTATCGTGCACTGTGCCACTCCAGGCCTTAGGGGCAAACAGCTGGGCCAGTGGAATCACTGCAGGGGCAATGTAGGTAAGAGCTTGAACTGTGGAGTCTGAAAGACTCTGGCATAAGTAGCAGGATCTGGCTCTGCCTTGGGCAACCAACTTAACCCCTCTAAGCTTCAGCATCCTGATGCTCGGAATCCTGACACGCAGTAGGCTCACAATAAGTCTGAGCTGTTACCATTATCACTTCTAGATGGAGCCCCAGGGTGTTTGGTCAAGTGAGGAAGAGGAATTTCACTGGTCCTGTCAACACTGGTTTATACCCAGGTGGATTCAACTCTTGGCCAAGGAGAAGTTAGGAGCTGGTACTTAATGTGCATTTATATCTCACCTAACTCTCCCTCCAGAGGCAGCAGAACCCAGGAGAGACAGCTCTTGTCTCTGTCTCGAGCAATGCCTTGGAGAGGATCCAAGGGGCTTACCAGGACCTCGGATTTCACAGCTGGCCTGTAGATGAAGTTGGGCTCCTGGTGGACCATGACAGGTTTGGAGATGGTGGACACGCCAGGGCCTCGTGGAGGCTGTGGGCTTGGGCAAAATGTCTACAAGGGTTAGTTTAAGAGAAATTCATGTGCAGTCGTGGTGAGAGTGGCCCAGGTCAACCAGGGCACTTTGACAAGCATGCAAATTCACGTCATGCACATGCTGGGCCTGCCTGCTTCATTCACCCTGTTGGAGATGCTAAGGGTGTGATCTTCAGCAGGAAGACAAGTTCACTGGCTCCAGTGCATTCTGAGGCCACAGAAACTACTGGGTGGCTCTAAGAAATCAGGGACTTGAGCCACAGCCTAGTTACAGGGGCACCAGCAGCAACTGTCACTCAGAGGATACACTTTCAACGCTCTCTCTCAGTGGCCACGGATGCCATCCAGCCTCCTCTCCCTAAAGGCTATTTCTTCTGGCCACAGTTCCATTCCCTGGACTACACACCAAGCATCTGCTGTCTCTGGTGGGTGGGTACAGAGGTTCTGAAGACTGAGGGTGAGGACCATCCAGGAGAGCTGATGCAACCTGTCTGCTTTGCTCTAATGCACTCCATTATCTTGGACAAGACAAATCGATTCAGGTCTCAACTCTGCCCATACTCTTCATGGGTCCCCACTGACTACTGAGCTTGACCCACAAGGGCCTTCATGAGTTTCTTCACATTCCTTTGCAACTTCATCCCTCATTCCTCACCTTCCTCATACTGCCTAACTTTGGTCTCCAAAATGCCAGGCTTTCTTGCCTTCATTTTTGCGTGTGCTCTTTCTTCCTTCTGCTTTACCTGCCCAGGTTTTCCCTGGGGTGTCATTGCCTTCATAAGGCACTCCTTGAACTTTTCCTCTCCACACCAGCTCACCACAGCACCTCTGTTCCCCCATCTCCCCGCTCCCCGCCAGTAGTGTGGTAGTTTCCTGCTTACTTATCTTCATCCCTACCAAATGGTCTCAGGCAGAGACTGGGCTGCCCATTTTGTGGTGGTTCTCCAGTGCCTGGCATTAGTGTCTGGCCTTTAGTAGGTGCTCACTGAACATGTTGAATGAATAAATGAAGGATTTAGGAGTATGCTGGGCACATGGGACCGTGCCTGGGGGGCAAGTATGGCCCTGAAAACCTTCTTCTGGCAGGTGTGATGTGGCAGGCACGTGTGCCAAGCTGATACAAGTGTTTGTTTCCACCACCTGAGGCCCGCTGGTGGCTGAGCTGATGGTGCAGGTGCAGACACGTGATCGCCCATGCCTCCTGCGGCAGCATCTGTGACAACTCTCTTGGGGCATGCTGCGAGGCCGGGGCAGTGGTACAAGGGCCAAAGTGCTGGCATGGGCAGGGTGAAGCTAACCAAAACAGCAGCCCCCTGGCCTTCAAGTCAGGAATAGCCCTGGCTTTCATGTCACCTAAGACATTAGGGTCCATTTTTCAGAGGCTCCTTGTGTCAAGGAGTTTTTAGCCTTCCCTGTGCTCTGACTGGGAACTAATAGCAGGAGCTTCCTGGTTCTTGGAGGAATCCGAGAAAGCTGGATCCTGTTTTGAATCTTGACTCCTACCCAGAAGTTTGCAGAGTTTACCTCCAATCTCATGTTCGCAGCTACACCCAAAATTTCTTGTATCCCAATCTGTCACTGATCATAGTTAATGTCTATTGAGCACCTACCACGTGCCTGCCATTCTCCTAAGTATAAACTTCAAATGAGTTCATGTATTAACTCATTTGATCCTCATAACAGGTAGGTGCCATTAGCATTCCCATTTTAGGGACAAGGACACCCAGACTCAGAAAGATGAAGTAATGCATGACCAGAGTTAACCAGCTAGTGGCAGAGCCAAGATTCAAACCAGGGTAGTTCCTCCTTGGCATCTTTATGTTCCCTGTAACTTTGATGCCCTTCCTCCCATCCTCCATGTATTGCCCTTCCATCCCAATCCTCCATGTATTGCCATCCTTCAAAGCTCAGCTCATAAGCCTTTTACTCTGCAGAGGTGCCTTCAACCTTCTGTTAGAACAAATCCTTCCCAGAGCGAAAGTCCTGCTCTGAGGTCTGGTGTCTCAAACCTGCTCCGGAAGTGTGCTTCCTGTTGGAAAACTTCACCCTCCCTGATAGTTTCATCATCATTCCTGTTTGTTCTCTAAGGAGAGGGGCAGCTGGGCATGACATGTCCATTGAGTAAATACAGGATCTTTTCATTGGTGTTCCTTAGCTTCCTCTAAATTCGTACTCGAGGCCAACTCAAAAACAAAAATAAAAACCCTGTGAACACATGGAAAATGGTAACTTGTCCTGCCTCTTATTATCTGTTTTGCTCACAAGCCATATTGGTCTGACTGATGGGAGTATCTGACTCCTCTGTCTGGCCCAAAATACACACACACACACACACACACACACACACACACACACAGCCTGTGCCATTTTATGGCTGAATAATGTCTGGTCAGCAGCTCATCCTTCAATGGCAGTTTTAGAGGGCATAGGTATGTCACTTTCCTCTGTGTCCCCTTCAGCACTGTTCCCCTCTGCCCTTCACACAGAGACACATGGCTGGTGCTCAGTCCATGCTGGTAGAATAAAAATTGTTGAGGAAAAGCTGCTGCCATCTTGATAGGGGGCACTCACAAGAAGGATGTGGCCCTCTGTGCCAGGCTAACTCAGCCCCCCTGTGAACCTGCTCCTGGCTGGGCTCTGGGACAAGACATCCCTGGAACAGACAGACTTCTCTCTGTCAGAACTGCAGGACTCAGGACCCATCAGGGGCCCAGAGGGAGCCCCCCAGAGAGTTCCCTGCCAGATGCTACGCCTTTTTGGCATCTGGTACTTTCTTCATTCCCACTTTCCCTCATGTTTTCTAGAATGATCTGAAAAGCTTATTCTGCTCTTCATGCTGGGACTCAAATCCATGCAGGGCAGGTTAATAAAAACCACTGATCAGGTACTACTGACCGCCCTCTCAGAGCTCCTACCCTTAGCTGATATGAGCCGCTTTAGCCTCTTCCAAGCCTGGCCCCATGGCTACTGGAGCAGAGGAGTATTTTGTGTGTCCCTCCATGAGATCAAAGCTCCATGTCTCCCTTGGGGATTACCTCTTCCAAATAATCTTTAGATTAAGAACAATTAATAAGAAATATGTCTTTTTGAGACAGCCTCCTGACATCCAAGAAAAAAAAATTCCCATCTTTTTACAGTAAACCTGGAGATTTCTAGGAACTTTGTCTTCATTTTTCTTTTTCTGGAGCTGGATGTTGGCCAGAAATTTCTGAGTATTATACTTCAAGCCAATGTAGTTGGCTAACTCCATAGAAAATGGCATTGTAATGTCCTGACAGTGCACTGGACAGTGTTATCACTTCGATGACAAGATCCTAATACTGCTCCACTGCTTATCTTCCCTTCATTTCCCCCTGTTAGCCTGGGGATTGATTTCCCATATTCAAGGTTTTCTGAGTTTATATCAAAAAGTGACCTGCTGTGACAGAGCTCTGGCTATTTATTAACACAGCCTTGCTGTACTGTATTGAACCTTACCAGCCCATACCAGCCAAGAGGAGCCAAGAGAAACCAACAGACATGGATACACTGTTGCTCATCACAAGTACCACAGGCAATTCACCTGTGCTTCAAAACCAGCAGAAACCAAACACATGCAGGATGACCACAGCACACAAGTAGGGAGCTCATTCTTGGAAAACCCCCGGGCTGGGGTGATGTTTCTTCCCACCTCCACTCACAAGAGCAGAGAAGGATGTGGGAAACAGCAGCCCCGCCCACTCTTCCTGTTTCCCAGCAGAGCATGCAGAACAGGGGCGGTACCTTTGGGGTGGGTGGGAAGCTCCGTTCAGGGACAGGGGAATTAGTAGGCTTCCCGCTATGGTTCTTTGCTTCCCGGTCCTCTGTTGGATTTCCTGCATCCCCAGTGCGGAAGGGGTGGTTGCCCAGGGCCTCTTCCAGTGCCGAGGGTAGCGGGCGCGTAGGAGTCAGGTCTTGGGTGGGAATAGATGGTGGGGGAGGGATGGGAATGGGGGGTGGAGTGCGTTGCACCCAGGGTGAAGAGGAGGCACTCAAGCGGCCTGATGAGGGAAGGACAGGGGGTGCGGGGATCTTGGGGGATGGGTTGGAGGGTGGGGGGTGGGGCATCACAGGAAAGGCAGAGGCAGTCTTAGGGGGATAGTAGAACATGTCCAAGGGGATGTCATCCAGGTCAGTGGTGTGGAGGTGCAGCCCGCCTGCGAAGCGTCTCAGGGGTGGGACCAGGGGAGACACAGAAGGTGGGGGAGGCGGGGGCCCCGTGGTCATCTGGGGGGGGGTGCAAGGAAGTTCTGTAATTGTCTGACCAGTGCTCCACTTCACAAAACATTGAGTATAATGCTTTTCTGTTTCTCTTGTTGCTGGAGACCCACCACCCTCAAACCAGAATCATGAGGTTGTCACTTCTCTGTCACCTGGGTCCTCGGGTGAGCCCAAACCAAGTGGCTAAGAGGGAATCCCCAAATGTAGGACAGTCCCAAGTTATCCTATATGTGTGATAAGTAAGGTGACCATACAGTTTGCCATCTAACCTGGAACAACTTGATAGCGAAAGGGGCACCTTTGCTCCATAACAACATGCCTGAGACCATCTCAGATGGGCTGGTAGGGGTGGCCTTGGACAGTGAACATAATGTGGTCACCTTGCCTCCCGCTGTCCCCAGAGTGGGTCATTCTGAAGTCAGCAGAAAGGCCTATGTGGAAAGAAGGGCTCTGTTACCTCTGAAATCTCATTATCAGCAGAGGAAATCTGCTCAAGGCGCGTCTGACAGAGCCTTTCCACCCAATATTGAATCTTTTCCGATTCCTCAAGGTCTTCCCGCTCTGTCTCAGACACCTAGGACCCAAAGCCAGTGCAAAAAGGAGAGGACAAAGGGCACACTTGAGTCACACGTGGGTAGCACACTCAAATCAGTAGCACAGAAGCACTTCTTTAAAGAGTACTGTTGGGTGTGTTCACTATCCAGCAAAAGACCCTGGCTTATCCCACCTGGGCCCAGAAGAGGCGGAAATAAAAGGGAGAGGATGCTGGGCTGTCAAGCTGACTAACGGTGCTTGGCAATATCAGAGGAGGGCCTTGTGCTTTGTACAGAACTAGTTGGGATTAGGCTCCCAGGGTCCCCATGAACTCTGGGCTCTTGAGATTCTCTAGAAATGGCTCTTTTGTAGGCTCCTTGCACACTGCAAAAATTTAACTTTACTCTTTTTTCCCCTTCCAAGCTACTTTATCCTCAGAAGAACAAGTTGGATTTTATTTTTAATTTTGTAGCTTATTCGTTTGTAATGCCAGAACTAATGCACTTCACATTTTCCAGGATTACTCTGGTTTAGTAATCTAATCAGCTTGGGATTCTGATTCATGGAAGCATTAAAGAGAAGCAGAACCAATAACCTTTTGAATAGCTAAGGAGTTAAGGCCACCCAGCTCACTTAGGAAATAGGAATTACTCATGCTAGACGATTGCCTTTGTCATATCTTAAAGGGGACAGCTTTAGATACACCTTCAGTTTGAAGAGGTCTAGCCTAGGATACATCTTATGGTGATGGAAGCAGCCTGACTCATTGCCTGATCAATTGGGGAATAGCCTCAGACACCCCACCTGCACAAAGGGGTTAGCCTCTGACCCATACTCTCAGAGTCAGCACAGGTGGGGAAATTTGGTCTTGTTCTTATAACCCAGGCAGAGGGGCCAGACTGACGCAGACCTGATGACAAGTGGCTGGAAGGCTAACTTCAGTTCTATAATCTAGGCAGAGGGGTTAGCCTTGGGGTCATACCCTGAATGCAGAGAAAGACCTCATATTCACACATAGGGTGGGCAGACCTGGCCTTGGACTCATACTCTGGTGGGGCTGGGATGAAGGGGACAGACTCAGACCTCCAGCCAGGAGTGTGACAATCTGGGCAGAGAAACTAGCCTCAGCCCCATACTTGAGCAAGGAGTCTCCATGCCAACTGTACACGTCATGGTCTCCATGACCCTGGGCAGGTGGGGTGATCACACATTCTAGAAGGGCAGGGCTCACTCCATCCTTGGGCTCCACTTGGGGAAAGCAACTCCAGCTGGCTCCCTGGGAGCATGGTGGGGAACAACCAAATTATGTCCCAGGGACGCTCACCTAGCCTGTGAGCAGGACACGTACCTCCTGGGCCAGCCGGTTGATCTTCAGTTGTTTTTCCTTTTCCAGCATTTCCTCTTTCTCTTTGTAAAGCTTTTGCTCAAACTCTAGTTCCTTCTTATTCTTTCTCAACTCTTGCAGGCTGTCATACTTGGCTTTCTTCTTATCCTTTCCTTTCTGAGTGGGTATGGCATTGTTTACATGACAAGGGTTACAAGGCAGTGTAGACACTGGCACGACACAGCAAACAGGGCATTCAGCCCACGGACAACACCAGAAATGAGCCCCTCCCCCACTCTGCCTATCTGCACTGGGCATAGGACAGGTCTACCCATTGTGCTACCCACTGTGGAGTGGGAGACACATTTCCTTTTCCAGCCAGAAGAACTGGCTTACTAGTTCACTAAGTAGCTGTGTGACCTTGGCTAAGTTCTTTAACCTCTCTGAGCCTGATTCACCTCATCTCCAAAATAGAATAAATTCCTGCCCTACAGGCTTACCCTCAGAGCCAATAAAATAACATCTATAAAAGAGCCTTATAAACATGAAAGTGCTATATAAATAAAATACACTGTATTTGTGTTCTAATATCTGAGCACACGCCTTCTCCATCATCTGGAAAGAAAGGTGTCTCATGTTCAGACAACAGAGATGCATCCTGGGAGATTCTATAATAAATCTGGGAGGGCTGACAAGTCTCACTTGCAGAGATCCTCTGTCCCAAGCTGCAGGAGATAGGAGCCAGCCTCAGACTTGGGAGCCCAGAGCGAGGGACATCAGATTTTGCTCAGATGCTTAAAATCCAGACCATTTAATCCTGTAGAGTCCACCGTTCCCTCTAAACTGACCGCTGAACTGAGGATTAGCCAGAAACCATAGGACTAGGAAATGGGGGTAGGGGAAGAGGATGGCCTAACTGCTTTATATTGACTGTTGGAGTTCAAGAGGATTGGGGAAAGGAGATGCAAGGCAAATAGACTCCTTATTTTTCCTGTGGGAATGGGACCTACTTATCCCATGGGGTTGCAGGAAAGCCACGGACTAAGGGAGGAAGAAAATTAACATGTATGGACTGCCTATGTGCTAAGGGCTTTATGTTGATAAGCTCATAGAAGGGTATTATCCCCATTCTCTTGAAGAAGAAACCAAGACTCAGAGAGGTGAAGTCCCTTGTCCAATGTCAAACATCTAGTAAGCGGCGGTGCCAGGGTTTGGACCTGAGTCTTCCAGGTCCTACACATTTTCTACTGTGCCCAGATGAGCTGGCAGCAATGGGGGTATGGCAGGAAGGAGTGTCAGCACCATCACACACAGCGCAGAGGACAGAGTTAGCACTCAGGAGAGGGGACAGCGGAGAGAGTCAACATTCTGGGGAACTGGTGTGGGGAGGAGGAAATCTGCCTGTTCGCTGAGCTCACTCCCACCCCCAACAAGCCTTCCCGGGGGGCTTCTCTCAGAATTCCTGAGTCATCCCAGCATCTAAAGGCAGGAATGAGGAACTGAGTTTCTCATTACTGGATACTAAACTTTATCCACAGCTGGGGAGGCTTGGGGGTATAGTTATGGACCTATGACTGAGTCATCCTGCATCCCCTCCTAAAGACACCCCCTACTTCCACGCACAGGTAATGCGCTTTGGAGAAGGTCTGCCATGTCAGGGCTAGACGCCCACCCCCAGAGCAGTCTATGAATGATTTGAGAAAAGTAGTAGCAATGATTCTCATTGCTTCAGTCCTGCTTGGTTCCTTACCCACCATGTTCACTAGACTCTTGGCTCAGTTGATAGATGAACCTTGCCATCGTGTTATAGATCAGACAGCAATTCCCCCAAGAGGAGCCAATAACATTCTGCCTCATGGCAGCTTGCTAGACTACAGGTATGGCCTCTCACAGGGACCACCAATGATAGGAATTCTGTTGGCTTAAAAACAAATAAAACAAAACAAAAAAAGAAAAAAACCCTCAAACTACCAGTGCTAACATTTTAGAGCCAGATCTCCTGGATGGGACAGGCAGATGTGGCAGTTTCTGTCCCCTTTCCAAGAAAGCAGCACTTGTTTAGCGATGCAGAAGGTTAAACTGTCCTGTAGCATCATCTACTGACCTCATACTAGCGCCCTCTATATAGGTTACTATATGTGTGAATCTACCTCACCTGTGGGCCTGCGGGCTCAGGCAATAGGGCTGGTTTGCGTGACTTACTCAAGAACCCCAGTAAAAGGCTTAGTCGGAACCATGAATCCTTCAGGCTCTGACACAGACTTTGTGGGGCCACAGGCCTGGGGACCTTGAGTTCCAGAAGGACTTACCACCAGGTTAGGAATAAAAAGCACTGAATCTTTGTCTTTTTAAATAAAGGAAATTGTGTACACTGACGATCATGGTTACACATAGCCAAGTGCATTTCCCAGGGACTTGGTTTTCTAGCTGCTGGGAGACAGGGCATGTCACATGCCTCTAGAGAAGGTGACAATGGGTTTTCAGAGCCAGCATGAGAGATGTGATTCTGTTGTCCTTTAAGCTGTCAGTTAAATTCATGGCAAATAGTCCCTTCTAGTCTGGACTGAGAGGAAAGGCAGACAGGGTGGATGTGCTCTTGCTTCTTACCTAGAAGCCATCTTTCTCTCTTTTGGAAAAGAAATGAAAACAAAAATGCCGGCTACTCAGTTATACTGAACTAATGAATAGATGGAAACAGGGCTCCTTCTTACCAACAGCAATTTCCAAGTGACATGATCTCCTGTGGGAGGTGTGTATGTGGAGGAGATGTTAGTTCTCTTACATCTACCTGGTTATTAGTGCCTGGAAAAGATTTTACCGATATATCTATCTCCTTTTAATTAGTTTTTCCAGTATAATTAATCCTGTGTGTGTGTGTGCGTGTGTGTGCGCTGTCCTCTCTAAGTGAGTTCTAACAGAGATGTGTGTAGAGGAGAATTAGAAATCTAACCCAATGAGATACCCTATAGGAGCCACAGAATCAGGATGTAGGATGAAAATGATGGTCTGATGAGACTGGGTCTCAGAAGGCAGTGTGAAAAGGAATCCCCTGTGGTGCCCTGTCGTAAGTTTATTCAACGTCATACAAATCATGATCTGTGTTCCTAAGTCAAGGTGTTAGCTTCAGTCAGGAATAAAATTGTTGTCTGTTATCTTCACAGCATTGTGTTGGAGGAAAAGAGCAGATGTTTTTGGAACATCAGATACCCCCACTTCACAGGCAGGGAGAAGCTACATATCATCAAGGTCACCGAGCTGCCACTGCTTTGGTTTCTAGGGGACTGACATCCTGCCAGAAAGACCTGGTCGAGTGATAACAACTAAATTAGTTCACCCAGATTTATGCTGATGCCCGATTTCCAAAGGCCAAGTCATCTCAAATGTCCAATCTACAGATATTAACAGTGGCATTTTCATAATCAAATGCCAAAGTGATTTAGAAAGAAAAAGGACGAGAGTCTTACGGGGCCTGGAGATACACTAATAAGATTTAGAGAGAAAATTCAAGGCCCCGGAGACCAGAAAAATGCATTATCTTGGCACAAGTAGCGATATTTCCAGGAGACAGTTATGATTGGTGTGGCTCTTAGTCTCAACTCGAGGCAGCAAATACCTGCCTGGCAGCGAGTCTGTGTCTGGCACAGCTGGTCTCAGTAACCTGTGCTGTGTACACCCAACCTGGTATCTCACTCTGTCTGACCGTGGCTTCTGGTCTTGACAGAAGAACAAAGAAGCTTCCTGCCATGGCCCTGTCCCTGCCCTGTGCCTCCCGGGGCTGATGCTGATCCAGGTGGTGCCAGATGGTACTCAGGCAGGTCTCTCCCCACGAACACTCTCCCCCCACAATGCTTCCGTGACAGCACCCTGCCATTAGACGTCAGCCTGCTAAAGAGACGCAGACAAGGTCAGCCCTCACAGTGAACAGGCAGGGTTACACTGCTTATAGTTGACAGGCAGAGAAACAGACAATGCTTGGAAAGGCCAAACCCCACAGCAAACTTGATGGCAAACGGCACAGCACTCAGTCTCACGTCCTACCTTCCGGATGGTTGGGAACTTGCCATCGTAACGATAAAACCACCCAAAGGCTATAACAACACAGAGAACAAAGAGATGAGACACATTCTGGGTCAGCCACAATGTCCACGGGCAGCGGTCAGGAGCTAGGACCTCACATGGCTCTGTGAGATGAAGTGCAGACCCCACGGCAATGCCGCACCCTCGGTCTGATGCTCCACTCACCTGGCTTCACCTGGGTTCCAGAGCAGGCCCCAGGCTGCCTGAGAATGGCCCACATTCCCTGGGGCCCCATCAAGTGCTTCTCTCCAGGACACTGGCTTCCAAAGTCAGTGGCAGAAAATCAGAGACAGCCCTTGTGGGGGGGACGAGCTTTTCCAAATCACAGCTGCCATCTGCTAACACTGAAAGAGAACGAGTCCTCTCCTGACTGATGTCTGGTTCCTCCATCCAAGAAATGGCTCCAGACAAAAGATAGCTGGGTCTCTGCCTAAAACTGCTGCCACACTGAACAAAACTGTCTTATCTCATAGTACAGACCGCATCCTCTGTTTTCACTGTTGAGAGAGAAGGCAGCTCTGGGAAAAGCAGCTCAGGCAGCAGTGGGCAGGTCTGCCCCCAGAAAAGCACATCCCCACCCAGAGCAGGGCACTGGCCCCCTGCTTTCCCCAGACAACAGCATGACCGGGAAACATCTCAAGCCTGAAGCTCCCTGCACTGGAAGTGATCCCTTAAATATTTAACCCACCCTGACCAGCCTGAGCTTTAGAACATATCTTGAAAGCCTCCTGCCTGACCTTGGGGATATCTAGGGAGTCCTGAGGGAGCGGCCAGAGCAGCAGAGGAAGGACCCGGGCTTGGGCAGCACTTAAAAGATCTGAACCAGTGGTTCACTTGTTGGGTGTGTATCAGCGGACATGGCAGCCCGGTTGGGAGTCCTGTCCTCAGGCTATGTGTGCAGTCTTGGGCTAAGCTGGACTTGCAGGAGCTTCACCCACTCCAGTGGTCCCCACCGCGAGATGGCCCCTTAGAGCTGGGTGTCTGCAGGGCTAGCAGGAGGCGGTGGGCAGGGCAAGCGGAGCAGCAAGGTCAGGCAGTGAAGCGGGGGCTGCAAACCTGCTCTCCCTGCTCCTCCGTGCCTCCATCCGCGTCATCTGCTGGCTCAAGCTCAGGCTCCACTCCCTGATCAGCTACCCGGGAAAAGAGGAGGAAGCTGGTAAACCAGGAGGGACTCGGGAGACCAAGGGGCCAGAGGTGCTTCCCAGGAGCCTAAAGACCTATGTCCAGCCTCCTCTACGGGAACTTGTAAGGTTGGGGGTGGGAACAGAGCTCAGGAGCCCAGAGCAAAACTCTCTTGCTCTGGGATGGTGCATGCAGGGCTTTCAGTCTCGGTAGCTTTAGTTTCTCTGTCTGTAAAATGGGCTAACAACAGGGGCCTCTGACCTGACAGTCAAGTGAGAAACTATGTGCAGGGCGTTCAGGTGAAACTTGGGAAGTGAGGCACAGAGGATGGGAATATCTGACTATTAAACACATTTGGTACCAAGGGCTTACAATGGCAGAACAGACCCTTCTGGCTTCTTCTTACCACCTTGGGAACTCTGGGTCCATGGGGGGTGTCAGAGCTGTGTGGGCAAGTTGGGGATCCTGAGGAGGTGAGGAGATTTCAAAGGGTAAAGGGGACAAATGTGGTTAGGAAGACATGAATGTTGACATCATGTGGAGAATAGCAAATCACCCATTCCAGTGGTTTCCCATCTGGACTTTGGCCTCCCTGGGACTGTTGAAAGGAGCGGATGAGTCTGCTGTGACCTGCTTATTATATTTCAAATATTAATTCGAAGAGCTTTCCCATTCATCTATGAAAAGGTTAAGTTCCTTTGCTTTTGGCTCAATTTATGTTTACTCAACAGTGGAACATTGATGCTTTCTTGCAAAATAAATAATAATAAAGCAATAGGAAAATGAAGGATTGCTTCATAGTTTGATAGGAAAAACCTCAACTACTAAACCATGGGGTCCATTAGGGGTGGGGGCTAATTGATGGGGTCCTTAATGGAGAGAAAATCCTAGAAATATCTTGTTTAAACCTCTTCATCTCCCAAGGCTCCTCCTGGCTCTGGGATACTTAATAACCCCTTCCCTCATTGCTTTGGCTAAAGAAAGCCCTTCTGGAGGACTCTCTGACAATCTGTCTTAGCTCAGAATATTGGGGGGCTGCCGGGTCAGCCCCAGGGAGGTAGGCAGTGTCCCCAGGACAGATGGTGGTGACACAAGCAGTCAGTCCCACCACATCATTAGGATAAGTGGCTTTCTTTTTCAGGCAAGAGATGTTCCACACTTTCTTGTCTGTTCAAAAATGTGCGGTCCATCCCTCACAGGCACAAATGCCCAAGTCTGGTACAATCTGTTGGCTAACTGGGCCCGAGTGACGAGGGAGGAGCTGGTTGTGGCCTGGTCCCCTGGCCTACCACAACAGAGATGGCTCCAGGCTCCCAGGAATGGGGAGACAGGCAGGAACTGAGCTGGCTCGGAGGCCTTCCTGCATTTCCTGACTGATTTCCCGAGGAGAAGGAAATTGCCAGTGCATATGGACACGAACAGAGACAGCAACTGCCCCAGTTCAGGCAGGCAGGCTCAGGTCATCCATCCCATGTTCTGCATGTTCCCTTAGAAAAAATTTATATCTTAAAGCTAAGGGAAAGCTCTCCTTTTATTCAAGAAGCCTGATTTGGTTTAAAAGCACTAAATAAATAGCTAGCTAGAGAAAGTGTTTTTATTTTTTTGTAGCTCCTGAGAGAGCGTGTTTGCTCTGAAGCCAAGACCCAGTTTCTAGAAAGGTACTAAGCTGACTAGGATTACTTTCATGAGAAGCAATTAAAATCGATTTCTCTCCGTCTGAAGCTCCTATTTCACTCCTAAGAGCAAATTAGCTCCCTGTCTAAAACACAGATTATTCACCAGGAATTTAGCTCTGGCCACATCTTCAACTAATACCAAATGTCAGGGAGGAGGCTGATGAGAGCTTGCTTTGTCCTTCAGAGAGGACCCTGGGATGACACCATGCCGGCTGCCAGGAAGGAATGTGCTGGGAGAGGTTTGTTCTGCATCAGGGAGGAGTGACACGGAAACTTCCAGGTGCCTGCCCAAACTCTTCATTGACCCAAGTGGCCTGTGTTGGCAAGATAATGTCACCCTAGGGCTCAGAGTTGGGACCAGAGTTTTTCAGAACCATCACAAGATCCTATATGGCTGCGACCCAGCAGATATGGGGAATCTTGGTTCTTGGGTGTGCATTCACCCCATATCTAGAGGTTCCCCAGCCGGATGAGCACAATGAGCTGCAGTAGAACTGCCCTATGTCATGTAAAGTGAGTAAGGCCCAATCTGTAATCCGGGACTCGTGACTGCCATGGCCCTCAAGCTACCTTGCTTGGCTTCCTACCACCAACTCACTGGAGAAGCACTGAGAGTGAGCTGCTGCTTTGCCCTGCTGGTGTGAGCACCAGGTAGTAGGGGTTGTGAGCAGGTGGACAGGGCTGCAGGTGGTGGAGGCCTGGCCTGAAATCAGAGGTGAGAACCCAGGACAGATGAAGAAAGGAGGTGCAAAGGGCAGAGGGAGCTGAGGCCCCAGCATGGCCACAGTTGGGGCCTAGGAGGGGTCTCACTCCTCTCCCTGACTCCATCCTTGAAAGGGGTGTGACCACACCCCATGCACAGGGGTGCAGGTGGCAGGGGCACTTCAGGTAAGGTCTTCCCACAGTCACCCGTCAGCCTCGGACCAGCCGAGTCCCCTCCATCAGGAGCATTTCCCTTCTTTCTTGCTACTGTTGCACCCCGCTGATTCAGAACCAGGTGGGATGTGGACGTACTACCCAGCAAACCAAGATGATCCAATGAGCAACTCACTTGTGACATGACTCTCCATTCCCTGGTCAGCAGCCCAAGGGCACGGGGAGAGGCCCTCCTGCCCAAGTCTGTGCTGTAGGGGAAAGTCTGGCAGCAGGCCCCTGGGAACAAAGGGGCAGACAGATCCCACGCACCCCCATGCCCTGGTGCATGGCTGCCCCTCCATGAAAGAAATGCAGCCCAGGGAGCCATGGGCTCTTCACCTGGGGAGGTGGTGGTGAGTAGAGGGAGACTAGCATCTCTGTCTAGATACTTCCCAACCCCCAGACCCCAGAAAGAAGCCCCCCACCAGGTACATGATACATACACTTAGGCTTGCGAAGGGGTACTGGATGCACCTCGGCGGTGATGGTTTTAGATGAGAGCAGCTGTTCCTCTGAGCCCCAGTCTTCTTCCCACTGCTTCTTAAACTTCTCCTCCTCTTCCACAATCCTGAAATAAAATCCCCCTGCTTGTGACTGAGGTCAGGACTTTTACAGGCCCACCCTCTGCCTGTTGGGAAACCCTAACCAGCCTGGGGAAGGGCTCCATGGTTCTAGTCGTGGTGAAGAAAACAAAGTCCCTGGCACTTGTATTCAACATCAAGTGTCAGTGCCACCCTGGGGATTGTAGGACTATGCTCTAGCTACCTTAACGTGATGGGCTTTACTAGAATTAAGGAATGGCTACAGATGAAGGAAGATCCACCAGGAGACAAGAAGGCCAGGCAAACTGCACCTAGAGGCGGCCTGTCTGGCCGCAATCCCAAGGGCACACTCACGTCTGCACACAGACGTGTGTTCAGATGTGTGGACCCAAGCACTCACTGTTCCATCTCCTTCCGGTATCTTTCATTCTCCTCTGCTGCCTTCTGGGCAATTTCCTTTTTTCTTCTGAAACACAAATTCAGATTGGCATGTTGGAGGCTATGCAAGAGAAGTTATCTCTTCCCTGTAGCTAAATTCCTAATTTGAGAAAGGTTTAAAATCTTCCTTACAGGCTCCCTTCCAAGGATGCCTGGACCAGATTTGGATGCTGGGGAAGTGGGTCCAAGAAAATCTGGGCCCCGTACCCTTGTGTGGTTTTGCCTGGCACTGCTGAGCAGAAATTCTGTGCTGCCAGGGCTGGGAGGCAGATCAACGCAAACCACACTCTATGTGTCCTTCAAACACTTAAAGTGACTGATGGTAGGCTGGGCCTGGCTGGAGTGAGGGACTCTGGGAGAAGGGCCCCAGGCAACATGTAGCCAGGGCTGCTGACCAAGACCAGGGCCATGGGCAGAGGTACCACCAGGGCTAATTCTCCAGGCTACTTCTGTGATGCAGAAGACGGAAAGACCCTGTGCACCTTCCTCTCTCAAATTCTTTTTACACTCCTAGAATGTTTCTGGGTTTGGATTTTGACAGTAGCTTCTTATTTGTGAACTGCTCACCACATTTATTCTCTCAGTCCATCATCTCAACCACCCCTGGGATGGGTGAACTTTATTACCACAGACAGGTGTGAATCCCAGCTTGGCCACGTGTGACTTTGCTCACAAGCAGCTTCACCTCCCTGAGTTAAGACCTCTCAGTCTCCTCACCTGAAAAATGGGTCAATACCATCTATCTTCCAGTGCTATTGTGGGAATTAAATTAAGTAAACCATGAACAAGGTCCTGACTCCATGCCGGCCACATGACTGATACTCAGCTAACATCAGCTACTGCTGGCAGCATCCTCATTTTCCCTACTTCTGGGTTTTGGAAGTCAAGGGATCTCTTCAGCTAGAAGGGAAGAGCCTGATGGTCTGGAGGCAAGGGATGGATACGGTGACCACCACCGAACACAGCTGGTCTGTGGACGGGCCTCAGCGGGGGCAGGATGAAGCTGGCCCAGGACACAGTGGGCAGGGAGGAGGGGGAGGGGGCATCCCAGCTGGCCACACTCACTGTCGCTCCATCTCCTGCTGCTCCTGGAGGATCTTGTTGGACTCCATTGCCAGCCGCTTCTGCATGAGAAGCTCCTGCCGCTGTAGCTCGCGCTGCCGTGCCTCCTCCAGCCGCTCCCGGTCCGTCAGGAACAGCTCTCGGCCCTCAGGGGAGTGAAAAGAGGCCCCTTGCTCAATCTCCTGGGGAACCTGGGCATCCACTGCCACAGCCCTGGGGACCGAGATGCAGGTTGCCTTCTTATCACCATGGCTCCCCGTGTCAGGTACTGCGGCTCTTGTTGTCTCTAAGCAAGCTTCTCCCCGTTAGGCAGAGATCTCTCCCTCTGCTGTCAGAGTTTCAGGAAAGGAGGCCCTCTGGCCCTTCCCAGGAGTGTGTGCCAGAGATCAGTGGTCTGAATGGCTGGGGCTGGAAGTCAGAGGTTACAGGGGCCCTATGAGGTCATTCTGGACTTACAGCTCCAGCTACAATGGAGATGGTCAGGCTGCGGCTACTCTTCAGCACGTTGACGGCCTGGGGGGAACAAGCAGACAGACCTTGTCCGAAATCTGACAGATCAGAGTAGTTGAGGCCTCTAGACAGCACAGAAGGGCTCAAACCCCGTGGCAGGGCTGGGGAGGGCATGGGAAGTGAAGGGGAGACATGATCATGGCCAGCAGGTGAAGATCTCGCATCTTACCTCCTTGTGGTCCAGGTTGGAGAAGTCGATGCCATTGACTTCGACAATCTGGTCCCCTGTCTGGCAGAGAAATGGAGAGGGTTCAGTGTGTCTCCACTATCTGTAGACTTACTCAGTTGAAGGAAGGGCTTCCACTGGGGGCCAGGGTCAGATGCTGGGTCTTCCAGGGGCTGCGCCTCAACTCTTCCTCATGAATAGAGCAGTTAGAAAGCTCGGATGGTATCCTCCCAGGGTGCCTACGCTTCATATTTCTTTTATCAGCTGTCAAATATTATACCATTGGAGGTTCATTCCTTTGGCCTGATTTATGATATTTGTTTTAAAAACTCAGTTTATAAACGTAGGAGCCTTGGGTTTCTCATATGGCAGAGGCTTTTTTGAGCCATAATAATATTTTATGTAATAGCTAGCATTCATCAATCCCTTACTGTGTGCCAGGCACAGTTGGAAGCATATGTATAATTCATTTAACCTACACAATGACCCTAGAAGGAAGGCTATTGCTCCTGTTTTATAGGAGAGGAAACTGAAGCACAGAAAAAGGAACTTGTACAAAGTAGAGATTAAGAGTTCTAGGGGCACCTGGGTGGCTCTGTTGCTTAAGCATCTGACTTTTGATTTCAGTTCAGGTCAGGATCTCATAGTTTGTGAGATTCAACCCTACATTGGGCTCTGTTCTGACAGCATGAAGCCTGTTTGGGATTCTCTGCCTCCCTCTCTCACTACCCCACCCACACTTGGGCTCTCTCTCTCAAAAATAAATAAACTAAAAAAAAAAAAAGGGTTCTGACTCTGGCACCAGACCACCTAGGTTTGAACCCCAGCCCTATCACACTAGGTACATGATCTTAGAAAAATCACACACTTTCTCCAGGTCTCAGTTTCTCCATCTGTAAAATGACAGTACCCAATTCTCAGAGTCCTTATACATTTTAAAGGGCTTAGAACAATGTCCTACCCCGTAAACATTCAATGAATGTCAGTTGTTGTTTTTTTTATTACTACAGCCCCAAGGTCAGGACCAAAGGCTCTCAGAGCCAGAGAAGACTTTACAAGAGTCAAATGTGAAGCCTTCTTCCGGGCGGGGGGGGTGGTGCGCGGAGGGGAGGAATCATCTGTCAGTGGCTGCTGGGAGAGGGCTGTGTGGTAAGGTCTGTTCCTCCATCACTGTGTGATGACCAGGGTCATCGTCTGACCCTGCACCCCTCTGGGGCCGTCCAAGCATCAGTCACTCACCTCCAACCCCACCTCGGCAGACAGGGAACCAGGCTTCACATTGCTGATAAAGATGCCAGGTTTCTGGATGGGCCCGCTGGAAATGCTGAGGGAGAGGTGGGAAATGCAGGTGAGGCTCTGCTCATCCCCCGTGGCACTGCTCATTCTCAACGTCCTGAAGCTCCTGCCTGTGTGCCTGGTACTCCAGGCCCCCAGGATCCAGGTCACCCATGAGGTGGCTCAGTGCTCGTGGGGCTCCATCGCTTACCTGTCCAGCCTCATCTCCCTGAGACAACAGCCGCAAAAAGCTATTTGTAATTTCCTGCTACCCAACCCCTCACCCAATATATGGCATATGCTGTTTCTCTTCTCTTTCTAGCACTTTCCTCTCTGTTCCTTAAGATTCAGATCCTATCTCCTCTACAAGGTTTTCACCAAAGTCCTTATTCTATCCCAAGCCTAAGCTAGCTGCTCCCTCCTCAGTGCTCCTAAGATACCTATGCCAAGGATGGCGTTTGTACTGTTTACTTTCCCCTCCCGCATCTGTGTCAGACATCACGAGCCAATCATAGCACTCTTCCACCAACCCTAGATACAGCCTTCAAGTTCTTTTTACAACACAGCTGGCCCTGGAACAACATGCGCTTGAACTGCATAGGTCCACTTGTATATGGATTTCTTGCAGTACAGCCCTGGAAATGCATCTTCTCTTCCTTAGGATTTTCTTAACAACAGTTTCTTTCTCCTACCTTACTTTGCCGTAAGCACATAGTACATAGTAGAGAAAATACAAAATGTGTGTTAAGTAGCTGTTTATCGGTAAGGTTTCTGGTCAACAGTAGTTAAATTTGGGGAGAGTCAAAAGATGGTCAAGTGTAGTACTCCAGGGCAGCCACCACTAACTGAGGAGAAACAGCACGAGACAGGAGACATATTTGCCATCTCTGATCCAGAAAGTAGCTCCCGCAGGGTCCTTGCCACTTTACGCTCTAAGTATTTAGTGGTTGGGAAGTGGGGACTTTTTATCCCCTATGCTTGGCAGAAAAGCATTGAATAAATGTGGATGAATGGAAATAATATGAAAAACTTAAATAACAATAGCTAATGGTTACCAACTGTTTACTACCTACCAGGCACTAAGCTGGTACTTTACCTCTGTCGCCTCATTCCTGTTCACAATAATGGTTTTGTGAGTATCGTCATCCCCAGCTTATAGAGGGAGAAACTAGGCTCAGAGTGGTTAAGTGGCCAGTCCAGGTTCTAGAGCTCGCAGGTGGCTGAGCAGGGGCTGGAGCCTAGATCTGTAACTGGAGCATCTGTGTCTGTAATAAGAACAGCCCAGGGGCACCTGGTGGCTCAGTCGGTTAAGCTCCAACTTCGGCTCAGGTCATAATCTCACAGTTCATTGGTTTGTGTCCCACGTAGGGCTCTAGGCTGACAGCTCAGAACCTGGAGCCTGCTTCAGCTTCTGTGTCTCCTTCTTTGTCTGCCCCTCTCCCACTCACATTCTGTCCCCCCGCCCCAAAAATAAATAAACATTAAAAAAAAGAATACCCCAGGTGGCCTGATGTGTTTACAATTCCCTGGCTGCCACTTAAGGAAGCCCACAAGGTAGTAAATGACAAGGGAACTGTAACAGAGATGGCCACCTGGAAAGGCTCCTTTTGCAGTGACTCAAGGGCCCACCAATGGAACATGGCTCTGCCTTTGGGCCTCAGTTTCCTCATCTATAAAATGGGCCTGTCAGAGCTGTCCCTCTGGCTATATAGGGCTGTTGTGAAGCTCAGACAGGAAATCAGAAATCAGGCACCGAGAAGTGTCATCTCCTCAGAAGCAGCAGTGAGAAAGGGGAGGGGTGTTGGGGTCTACTGGGGTCTACTGGCCATGAAGGAGTCCCAGGGCATGACTGACACCCACCTGCAGCCAAGGCCCCGGGATCCCACCAGGCTGATGAAGACCTTCTTCTCCTTGTTGTCCCGACTGCCGGGGAAGCCCAGGCTGCTCCGCGCCCCCTGGAGGAAGGATGGGAGAAGGGTCACGGGGTGTCCACAAGTGTGCCGGGGGCCTCTTGATTTCAGAAAGTCCTTTAGAGCAAGCACTGCTGTTCTCACCTAAGACTGTTCACCATTATTATATCCTTGGGGGGTATGTGTGCCCCAGTTGGGCCTGGCTGAAGGCCCACCACCCAGAGGGACGTTTTGGATTCCCTGGGGGCCTGTCTAAAGCCCCTGAAGGCACATCTCTGGGGCAAGCCTTCCCTTTGGGACCTGCTGCCTCCTCCTTGAAGACAGCCCTCTCCAGACCCCTTCACAGGTGGTCCTGGCCCTTACCTCAGATTCTGACACAAACTGATCCACATACTGCCATTTGAGGGGTTCATCAGGAGAGCTGGGGAGAAGGAAAGTAAAAGGGCAGTCTTTAGAGAGAGATGGTCGAGGAACCAGGCTCCAAATCCAGAGCTGCCCAGCGGGAGCCTCCAGCCACCGCTGGCCCAGGAGCAGCACTGGTTCGGCGGAAGCCAGACCCCAATGCCAATCCCAGGACCCTGAGCCCACAGGGAAGAGTCTGTCTGCAGAGGAAGGTTCTGCTCACCTCTTCACGGGAATCAGGCCAATGTCTGTGGGAGAAAGGCATAGGGGTTAGGATGGTCTCCCAGGAGCTAGGGACCCCACCGCCTACCCCACCCCACCCCACTCCACCCCTCCATTAGCGCCCCTGGTTCTCTGGCCTCACTCACGTCTCACTTTAATGGACACAGTCTTCTTGGTGCGGATGAGGTTGATGACCTCCTCGTGGGTGCAGGAGGAGATGGAATATCCATTGATCCGGACGATCTCATCCCCTACCTTGGCCACAGACAGAGGGAATGAGCACCAGGCGAGGAGGCGCCAGGCATCCGGGCAGGCTTGCCACTGGGTGCTCTGGGACTGCTCTCCAGGAAAGGGGGAGATGACGTGCCTTCCTTCAGAAGAAACCTCGGTATGTACCCTAGTACCTTGTTATAACCAACCCACTCTCCATCAGCTTGAGGGGCCCCAGGGTAGTGACACTCCTAAGCAGTCTTTCTGACTCATTTTACAGATGGGGGAACCAAGATGGAGGGGGTGTGAGAGGCACAGAGAATGGGTAGCAGAGCTGGGACTAGAACTCAGGACTCTATACCCTCACTCCAGTGTCCCTTTTCCCCACTGGGTCACCATCAGGTTCCATAACCCATGCAAAGGGCAACCTTCACCTAGATCCAGGCAGATCTTCCTTGGCCTTTGTCCCACCCCGCCCACAGAGTAGCCTCTCCTGTCTTTGCTAATCACCGTAACCCCATAACTGACTCGGGGTGGGGAACTTCCATGACTCGTGACCCAAGTTCACATCACTGACACACACTCAATTTCTTTCTTTCCACTCTATGGAAGCTCAATGGGCATTTTAACTTTGTCACAGCCCTGACCTCCGAATTCCCACTCGGAGTGAGCAAAGAACAGTGAATAAACACAAGGCTCTGGCATCAGATGTCCTGGATGCAAATTCCTGCTTCCAGTAGGCTTCATGTCTAGTGTGGAGCCCAATGCAGGGCTTGAACTCATGACCCTGAGATCAGAGTGGGACACTTAACCTACTGAGCCACCCAGGTGCCCCCCACACCCCCACTTCTTCTTCTTCTTCTTTTTTTTTTTTAATATTTTTATTTATTTCTAGGAGAGAGAGAGAGAGAGAGAGAGAGAGACAGTGTGAGCAGGGGAGGGTCAGAGAGAGAGAGACACAGACTCTGAAACAGGCTCCAGGCTCTGAGCTGGCAGTCAGCACAGAGCCCGACGCGGGGCTCGAACCCACGAACCGCGAGATCATGGCCTAAGCGAAAGTTAGACGCTTAACCGACTAAGCCACCCAGGCGCCCCTCACTTCTTCTATTCTTATTAGCTGCACAACCTTGGGCAAGTCTCTCTCTGTCTCTCTCTCTCTTTTAAATATTTTTATTATTCAAAGAAAATCTTCATTTTTTAATTTAGCTCTCTGACTCTGTGCTTGTGCTTTTGACACTTTCACAACAATTTTCTGCCCCTTAATAAGGAAAACACGCTTGATCCTGTCATGAACACACATGGCACACACAGAGCCCATGCGGATGTGTTTGTCCACTTTAGATAGCCTCGGAAGAACTATAGGTGTCACAGCACGGGCTCCTTGAAGCTGGCCTGGGCATGCGCCACATGCAGAGTCTGGTGCCTTCCCAACCTTCTTGGTCTAAACGGAAATGAATCCACTGCCAGAGGTTCAGGACAGCTTAGTTTCATCAGAGGCTGTTTTGTGGGACAGCCTACGATGGGATGTCAAACGTTAGACCATTCTGAATGCCTGTGAACGTTGTCCTCGGAAGAGGAAAAAAGGACCTTGGGCAATTCCTTTCTGAACCTCAGTTCCTTTCATCTGTAAAATGGGGAGATGCCCAGGCAGCTGTGAGAATTAAGTAAGCAGGTCCATGTAAAGCCAGCCAGCACCTGGCACACTGCTAGTAGTCAATTAATGGTCACAATTGTTACCATTAGTTGGGCCTGAGCCCTAAATATTCCTGTCCTGTTCGCAGGACTTTGGGCCTCATTCAGTTGGGAGAGACAGGGGCTCACAGGCCTACAGGACCAGCCCTTGGATACAAATCTATGGTGAGCTCAGACCCTGCTAGACATTGCTATGGGCCCCTCTAAGCACCTTGGCTCTGGGGGTCAGTCCTAAAGGTCCTCACTTAATAACTGCGGGGCTGGGGGCACCTGGGTGGCTCAGTTGGTTAAACCTCCAACTTCAGCTCAGGCCATGATCTCACGGTTCATGGGTTTGAGCCCCACATTGGTCTCTTTGCTGAGCTCAGAGCCTGGAGCCTGCTTCAGATTCTGTGTCTCCCTCTCTCTGCCCCTCCCCTGTTCATCCTCTGTCCTTGTCCCTCAAAAATGAATAAACGTTTAAAAAAAAAAACCTGTGGGGTCGGAAGGATCCACATGAAATTGAGGCCCAGGGAGGTGATTTTGTCTAAGGTCACATAGCCATTAGCTGCAAAACAGGGACTGGATCCCAGATGCCCCTCTCCAGCCTGAGGCCAGCACAAGTCATCTGGCAGTTTAACTCACACCACACGTGCTGTCCCCATGGGGACTTGCTGGTACATGTGGGGACACAGTTGACTCTTGGAGTCTGGGCGCTGGGAGGGCACACAGCCTTTGAGGGGTTCACTAGGCCAACCCCCACCCTCCACAACATCCCTACAGAGTCTCCTTCTCAATAGTACTCCCTGAATGCTTCCCTTCCACGTCTCAACACAGACCCTAATCTTCACGGGGGCCTGGCCAGAGTGGCAAGAAGAAGGTGTCACAGGGAGGGGCTCGCTAAAGAACTCTCTAGATTTCTCGGGACATATCCTGTGAGGAGAGCAGCTGGTCTGTTCTTTGCACCCACTTTTTATAATGACTCTGTGTTTCTGTTAATCAGATGAGGAAACTGAGGCTCAGAGAAGTAAAGTGATTTGTTCATGGTCACCTGGTTGGTAAACAGTGTTGCTGGATTTGAAGTCAGGTCTCCCATACAGACAACAAGCTGTCTCTCGAGCATCTGGAAGCAGAGAGGGAGGGCACCGGGCCAAGCCTGGCTGTAGTTCCCTGCGTCCTGTCCTCTCTGGATTCTTGCCACCTGTCACAGGTGACCTCAAGTCCCATAGGAAAGGCAGAGATTACTCTGTCCATTTTATAGCTGGGACAACTAAGGCACGCAGAGTCATTCTCTAGCCCTGGACTACACAGCATGTTGTACAGGGCAGAGGACATAGGTTCAGACAGGACACATTTGGGAAAAAATCTAAATACGGGGAGCCAGGTGGCTCATTGGTTAAGCATCCGACTCTTGGTTTCAGCTCAGGTCATGATCTCACAGTTCGTGAGTTCAAGCCCTGCATCGGGCTCTGTGCTGACAGCACGGAGCCTGCTTGGTATTCTCTCTCTCCCTCTCTCTCTCTGCCCTTCCCCTGCTTGCTCTCTCTCTCTCTCTCTCTGAAAATAAATAAGTAAACTTTAAAAATAAATACATTAAAATATGTCCAATAGGTGGACAAGAATGGAGAGATGAGAGTGCCAGGGCTGAGTCTCAGTAATGGGTCCAAGCTCGCCACCTGGGGCCCAGCCTCACAGGTCAAATCAGCAGGGCCTTCAGTCCAGCCAGTCTGAATATGTCCCTCCCCTGCCTCCAGAATCTTCTCCTGTCCTCAGACCTCAGGTATGAGATCATCCCAGAAACATGAACCCCAGACAGATGAATGGGTGTGGATGTTTTCCCCAAGCTCCTCTGCATGAGGCTCCCTCTTTTGTTCCTAAAGGGAACCTACTTAGGACCCTGGTCAGAATGATTCCCACACAGCTCCTGGCTCAGGCTGCAATATCAGCTTTCCTCTCTCTCCCTCTCCAGGGTGGAGCCCTGCAAAGGGCCCTTTGTGCAAGGGCCACAATGAAGTGATCTGAGGGACAGCAGCACAAAGGACAGATGAGCCCGTCAGCCCAAGAAAGAGAAGATAATTCATAAGCCTGAGAAACAGGTGGGAAGGTAAAACTCTAAGTTTCATTAAAATGCCCTGATGTCCCCAAGCATGAAAGCATTGTTGAGAAATGCTTGTGCTAGGAGGAGAGCTTGCCCTGGAAAAAGAGAGGGCCTCAGTCGATGCCAAGAGAGGAGCTCATTATATTTTTTCTCTGGTTGTGTTTCTGGGCTGGAAAATGTGCCCCACAGGAGGGGAGTAATGAAGAGGCTGAAATTTCAGCCGCCACTGGTGAGCCGTGAGACAGGGATTTAGAACAAAGCAATGTCTGTCAGCTCCCACTTTCCACCTCCCTCTCCATGGGGCCTTGTACCAGAAGTCTTGGAGCCCCCCGAAGTCCCTGTCGTGGCAGCCTGATAACAAACATGCTGGCAGCCTGGGGAGGCAGTGGGAGGGCCTCTTCTATGTGGACACACAAAACACAGCTCCGCGCTCCAGCAGGAGTGAGACCTGGAGGTTGGCCCATCTCTGCTCAGACATAAGGTCACTGAGGTGTGGGACCCCAAGGGAGAGGCACCTAGGGTGCTGAAGGGAGATCCCCGGGCTTGGCAGGCACAAGATCTGGGTTCAAATCCTGACTCTGCCACTTACTGGCTGTGACTCTATATATCATAACAACCTGATGAGGGAGGGAGGATTATTATTATCATCCCCATTTTACAGATGAGAAAACTGAGGCATGGGGTTAAGTTATTTCATCATATTCCCATGGCTAATGAAGAGCAAAGCCGCGACAGTCTGGCTTTCTAGGGTCTATGTTCTTAAGCACCATACTACACTGGGATTTCCTTTTCCCCTTCTTGGAAAAGGCTACACATCTGAAGCTTCAGGTGTTAGGACATAACTATGCTTCTCCTCTGGGAAGTGGGGTGGGTGGTGAAGTGCAGTGTCTAGGTTCCTAGCTTGACTGAGGAAAACTGGCAATTGCCTGCAGCCTGACATCCATGGGCCTGAGGAAAATCTGTCAGGATGCGTCAGCCCAAAGAAGACTTCCCTCCCCCAAAAGTCTCAGAAAGGTGAGGCGACCATGTTCGGGGGAAGACAGGAAGCCTGAGGCCCTGATCCTCCATTTGCCTTGACTCTGCTTACTCACCAGGAGCCCAACACTGTCTGCCTGACCCCCTTTGATGAGGTGGGAGATGAAGAGCCCACAGCCGAACTCGAGGCCCCCACGAACGCTGAGGCCGAGGCCTTCGGGATGCAGACGGTCCAGACGCACCTCCTTCAGCTTCCTGCCATAGGGGAGGTCAGTGCAGGCTCAGCGCTGGCCTGGCCGCCAGCGTTGCCCCATCCACCAGTGAGTGACCCTGCCCATCCCAGGTGAGCTCTCCCACTCCAGCCTCTGTCCCGGCAGCTCCTTCCGCACCTGGAACGCCGGGGGGTCAGTTGGTCGTATTCCACCTGGTGCTTCAGCGGGATCAGGGGCCTGATGGCGTCAAACAGCGGCAGGCGGCTAGGCTCATTGATGACCAGCTTCAGGTCTCCCACAAGCACGGCCACATCCATGGTTCTGCGGAGACACGGGGGATGCCTGGAGCCTCACCCATGGCCTGGGTGACATCCACGGATTCCCAGAGGAGGCAGTCCCAGGCTGGGTCATCACCCACTGGGTCCAGGCCTTGGAAATGGGGAGAACACTCGGGAAAATCCCAGAGCCCCTCACTCTGGGCCAGCTGCCTCGGAAGAGCTTCGTTCTTTCACACTAAATGTTACAAGGAAAGTGGCGAGGTAGGGGATTGTTAACCCATTTTACAGATGAACTCTAAACCAGGATTCAAACTCAGCTCTGCCTAATTCTAAAGCCCAGGATCATCCCAGCCAGGAAGTTTCGTGCAAGATGCTGGTGGCCCCTCTTGTACTCCACTTCTGATCCACAGCTAAGCTCTGTGAAATCTGCCCTCCCAGTATCTCTCACGTGGGCCCCCTTCACACCGTTCAGATCCTCAGCATCTCTGGCCTGCTTTTCTCCAGATGTCAGCCGACCTGCTCACTCTCCTCTAGTGTTTTCTAAATATAAGTCACTCCCCTTCTCAAAACCCTTCAATGGCTCCCCACTGCCCAGAGGATACCATCCATGCTCCCTGGCGGGCTCAGGGCCTCCACGGCCTGTCTCTGTGGAGCTGCTCCAAGCTTGTGGCTGTTTATGGCCTCTGTGTGCCCTGGGCTTTACTACGCCAGGTGACTTGTCACCCCCCTGTGCTTTCTTGCCTCTGCACCTGTGCTCATAGTGATCCCTCATCCTGGAATGTCCTTCTCTGATATTTCCACCTATCAAAATCCTTCTTATCATTCAAAACCTAGCTCAAGCCATTTCAGTCCTGCACGCCATGATTAGAAGCAAACGCCCCTTTCTTCACACCCGGCTTTTACTTCACCTTATCAGTTATTCTGTAACTTATATTAGAGTTATTTGTGGTTGTAGTGTCCATATACTCTCCCCACTGAGCCAGGAGTTGCTTGAATAAAGAAGGTAGATCTTTTTCATTTCCAGATTCTGCCTGGTACCCAGCAAGCGGCAGAAGCTTACAAATGCACGCTGATTGAATAAACAAGAGACATCCGAAGTGCAGCTGGGGGCGGCTGCCATTTCTTGTTCGATCTAAGCAATTACATTCTGTTGAACCTATCTGGCTACTTGGTAGCCTCCCCCATTGGATTCTGAGCAAACTGAGGGCAGCGACCGGTCTGTCTTGTTCACTCATGTACCCTCAGCTCCTAGCACAAAGCCACGCACAGAGTATCTGTGTAAACGTTTGCTAAGGCAAGTGAAAGGTGTGTCCGTTTGATTTCCAGGAGCACTGAGCATCTGCCTCCCTCCCAGAGCTTCCGAGGGTGGGAGAGGGAGGTCCCCCTATCTCAGAACCCATCCCAGGGCTCCCTGGAGACAGAGGTACCCGGGGTGGTCCGCGGGAGTCAGACCCAGTGCACTTACTGGTGATACATCCGCAGCACATCATACAGATAGTCCTTCTCCGCATCATTTTCAATCAGAAAATCCACCTAGAAAACGCAAGGGCAGAATTATAGCCCCAGGCCCAGCACTCCCATAGCAGACCCTGGGGAGGGGGAGGCCACTACCAAGAGTGTCCTCAGCATCTCCACAGGGCTAGGGCTGTGAGAGGAGGGCATCCAGGGACCAGGCTGGCCCTCTGACCGTAACACACCAGACGCATGCAGATCACCCCAAAGTGGCCGCAAGAGTACCTCTGCACATCCAGATGTGGTCAGGCTGAACCTCATCCCCAGGCGAGTGCACACACGTGAACCTCCGCATGACCGTGATGCACCCCCATGGCAGCAGTGTTACCGCTCACTCTCATGGCTATGTCACCAGAGTCCAGAGTGGCAATGCCAGTGTCAGACCCCTGGTCTGGAAGGAGCCCAGTGCCTTACCTGATAGTGACTGTAGTGCCGGATAACTGCTTTCAGAAAGGATTTGGGCCACTCGCTCAGATAGCACATCCCACTCACCGGAAACACCCTACCATTCTTCTGTGTCACCAATGCCAGGGGCAACTTGCCCTGGCCTAGGCCGGGTTGGCCCTAACGTCTGTCCACTAGTCAGCCTCCTGGCTACTCCTTCACCTCTCCACATCCCTTCAGTCCCTCACTACCCCCCCGCCCCCCCCCCCCCCCCCCCCCCCCCCCCCCCCCCCGGAGGAGAGTCAAGTTACATCATTTCAACTTTGCTGACGTCAATGGCTGGGACTCCAAGGTCAGGGTCAGGAGCTGTTTCATTAGCACCTCATTCCCAGGGGAACTGGTGGGTAGAAGCCCCGGGTTCCACTCCCTGGGTCCGTTCAGTGTGAATCTCTACAGGCCTAGTATCCTTGACTCTCTAGACCCAGACTGAGTAAGAGGGCAAGAACGGCCTCCAGCTGGGAGGGGGGTCGGGAGGCTCTGAGCTGCACATGGTCAGGAGAGACTCTACAAGAGGAGGCTTGGATTCCTCTTAAATGAAGGCAGGGTTCAGGTGGGAAGGAGGTAGGACAGTCCATCTTACACCTGTTGTAACCTACTCTTTTGTGACGAGCTGGAACTGAGCTAAGAGGGACAGAACCAGGAGGCTGTGGCAGATGTAGCTGAGGACTAATAGAGGTAATGACCTAGGGCTGAGCCAAGAGGATAGAAGGAAGGCTCTAGACTAGAGCAACTGGAGTGCATTCATCATTCAACAGATGCTTCTGGCACTGCGCACCTCTGCACGGCACAGTGCTGTCAAAGACCTACTGTGTGCCAGGTGCTTTACACTGAACACAGGGAATTAGGACAATGGCACAAGGTGCCCTAGAGCAGGGGCTCCTTGAATCTGGCCCTTGGACTGCTCCTTGTTCGCTCATTCAGGCCATACTCTGCTTACCGACTGCCAACCGTGTCTTTATGTGAATTCTCTTACCCTCCCAACAAACCTCTGATGTGCATGGATATTATCATCCCCATTTGACAAATGAGAAAATACAGGCTTGAAGAAGGAGCAGGGCTGAGACTCCAACTTATGCTGGCTGGTTCCAAAACCTTGGCTTTGTTTCTAACCACCACCTAGTATCCACTTACCAGGTACAACTTTTTGTATGCATTTGTCTGATAGACATTTACTGAAACACCTACTATGTGCAAGACACTGTGTCTTTTTCTAATTAAATTTAAAAATCTTTTCCTTTTCTTGGATCTCTCTTGATATGGGCACAGAAACCCTAAAGGATCTACAAATACTTTATCACATCAATCCCTCCTTCCCGGCCCATCTGTCTCTGGTCTCCTCCATCCTGCATCAGCATTCTCTGGCTGATGCTCCACTAGCTCTTTGCTATCTGTATGGATTTAGCCTCGGCCCTCTCCAACCTCATGTCCCAGCATTCCTCTATAGAGACTGGCCCTTCAGGATAGCTGCACAGGGGAGGCAAACAACATTCAGCTCATGCAAATACAACCCCACGTGTGCACCCAGCCGAAGACTGAGAAAGAGAGCAAGAACAGATTAAATAATGCATGTTGTTCCATGCGATGAACATCTGCCCTTCTCAGGCTGTTGCGGTGATTAAATAAGCAAATATATACAAAATATTTAGGACAGTGCCCAGGGCTCCAAAATCTTGAGGACTCTAGAACATGGGCTGCGCCTCTTTGTGTTTCCAGACCCACTCTCCAGCCTTCTCCACGCTGCCCTGTGTCCCAGGATGCTTTGCCTGGGCTCCCTGCTTTCTGACACCCAGCTGGTGGTGAGAGAGCCTGAGGAGAGAGAAAATGGGGTTCTGACTCCCCAGCTCACACTCTCTGCTACATCACCTTACAAGCGGCTCTGAGCTTCGGTCTGTAGCCATGGCTCTTCCCTACCTTTGCCCCTTCAGGTGCACCTGGCTTCTTGCTGCTGCTCCCGGGCCCTGTTACCACACCTTGTGGGTTCATGCATCCCTGTCTGCCCTTCATAAAACTCTCCTTAGTTTCCCATTTGAGAAACCCATGGGATGAGCCCCATGCTTCTTGCCTCAACTCTGGCTGGTGTGAAACATGGGGTCTTAGCAGTGGTGGTACCAGCAGCGTTTTCTCTCTGTGAGCTCACAGAGATGAGCTCACATCTTTAAGATGCCTCAAACAATGGCTCTCCTTGGTGAAACCTTTCCTGATTCTGCACCAACACCCCCCCCACCCGCCCCCAAATCCTGTGCTGTCATTCTGTGCACGTGACACCACTTTGTTCCCACCCCTGCCAGGGCTCTCACCAAGCTATGTTGTACATTCTCTCTTTACTCTACCGTCTCTCCGTTAATCTGTGTGTGGCCCAGACACAGGCCTGGGGGGAGTGCACAGGGTGAGGCTAACGAGCCCCTTCCCCATCCCGCTCTGCGTTTCTCTGTACTTTAGTTTCCTCATCTGTAAAATGGGGAAAAAATTACCTATTTTGTAGGATTTCATCCTTCTCTGAAGAATTAATCATTGTTTTTTTTTAAATTATTGATTGGGTTAATAATCATTAAATGCCTGGCACGGTGCCTGGCACATAGCAAGTGCTAAGTGTTTGTTGACTAAAACTAAGTAAATGAATGCAGAATCGGTATTCTCGGCAGCTAGCAGGCCGTGGGCGCTCCATAAATGTTGCTGGAATGAATGGGTCCAGCCACACTCTTCCCAGGCCTTCAGAGCATGCATCCTGGGCAGTACTGGGCATATTTGATTCTTGTTTTATTATTCTTCATATTTTCAAGACACTTGTGTCTTGCTAGCTAGTGGGTGGCATTTGTTTCTTTAATTTTTTTAAGTTTATTTATTTTGAGAGAGAGAGAGAACAAGCAAGGGAGGGGCAGAGAGGAGAAAGAATCCCAAGCAGGCTCCCCACCACCAGCACAGAGCCCAAAGAGGGGCTCAAACTCATACACCATGACATCATGGCCCGAGCCGAGATCAAGAGTCAGACACTTAACTGACTGCACCACCTAGGCGCCCCTAGTTGGTGGCTTGGCACACCTGATCATGCCCTCCTTCCCCTGCTTCTCCTACCTCACTTGCTCTTCCTTCTCCCCTTCCTCTCCTCTAAAGGTTGGGGTGCCCTGGCTCTGTCCTGGGTATTCTCTTCCCCTTCACTGTGTCCCTAAGTGACCTCATCAGTTTCAGAGGTTGAGCTACCATTCATTCCTCAAGGACTCACTGAGGCTCATCTCGCACCTAGGCCTCTCCCATCTTCAGACTCCCACAGTTACTGGCCTTCTTTGTCACCTCTCTACTTAATGACTGAACAGGCATCTCAAACTTAAAACATTCAAAATGGAACTCTTGGTTTCCACCCTGTCACATCTGGTCCCCATATCCTGCTCCTCCTTGATGCCTCTCTCTCCACACCCACAGCCACCCATCATCAGAACCCATCAGGTCTACCTTTTCTCGTGTCGGGGATCTGACCGCTCCTCAGGCTAGTCCAAGCCCTCACCTCTGGCCTGGGCTGCTGTAGGAGCTCCTGACTGAGGTCCCCCTTTCCACTCCTGGCCCCTTCAATCTGCTCTCTACCAGCACTCAGAACAGTCCCTTTTAAGGGTAAGGCAGGCATGTCACTCCCCTGCTGGCTTCTCATCACTCTTGGAACAAAACCCAAAGTCCTGGTCACAGTCTACAGGCCCCTGCCCCAATCTAATCCATCACCCATTACCTTTGAATCTGTAATTCTTCTCAGAAACACCACTATGCCTGCTGTTCCTAAAGACTTCAGGGCCTTTGTACTTTACTGTTCTCTCTTCTTGGAATATTCTTCCAAGTTCTTCCACTCCTTGCCCCTTCCCTCACTTCTTTCTAGATGCCTGTTCAAATATCACCTCTTCAGCGGGGCCTTCCTGACTACCATCTGGTTGCCCTCTATCTTCTCATCCCAGTTTATCTTTTTCATAGCATGTATCACTACTTTGCATTATATGATACTTGTATTGGTTTACTAGGTAACTGTCTTCCGCACTAGTGTGTACTAAGGAGTCAGGGACTTTGTTTTATTTTTCAATTGTTAGAGTAATGTTGGGCATAGATTAGGAGCTCAGTCAATGTCTGTTGCATGCATGCATGAATGATTAGCAAAACTCTGGAAGGCAGGGGGCCTTTCTGGCCTTATTTATCCCCTTCCTCCTGCCCCCAGGCACCTGCCCTCGGGCAGGGTACACTACAGATACCCATAAATGAGTGATTACTGAACAGGCAATAAACACTTTTTGAGCAAATGAGTAACCACGTTCCTTCAAGATGTAGACTCTGTGAGCAGTCTTCTTTTGAAAATCTCTAGGGATGAGCCTTACTTACTCTCTGATGTCCCCCTCCCCTCTCCTTGGTATCCTGGCCCAAGGCGGTGACTGGGAAGGGCACGCAAGTGTTGCTGATGTCCTTGGGAAACTGCACAAGCCCAGAGAAACAGGCTCTACTCAATAGCCTGAAGCCTGCTGGCTTATCCAACAGGATGCTCCGCAGGTATCTGCAGGTGGCCATGGACCAAATGGTTATTACAGATCCAGAGTAGCCAGTACTTGAATTCCTATTTAATCCTAACTGTCCAGTGTGATAAGCATGATGAACTTCATCTCAGAGCCGAGGAAACTAGAGCTCAGAGAGATTAAATGGCTTGCCTAAGGTCTCACTGGCAGTGAGTGACAGGATTGAGATTTGACCCCAGTTCTGCTCAACTTCAGGTAATGGACAACAACAATCGACATTTGTTGAGGACTCACTAAATATCATCATCTATTTAAACTCCCTACACCTGTGTAGATCTCACCCAACACTCACAAGTAAATATTGTTATCCTCATTTAACGAATCAAAGAACTGAAGTACAGAGAGGTTAATAACTTGCTCAAGGCCACACAGCACTTTCCATGACAATATACCACTTTTAGTGCTACTTCTAACAACTAAAGATTTCAATTACAAAGCATTCCCAAGGGGTAAATTTGCACTACAGCACTAAGGAAGGGACACTTAGAAAGCAGTCAACAGAAGCTATAAATTTCACCCAGTTTGTCTGTGTGCCCCCACACAGACTTCTGTTGCTTTGCCCTCTCTCCCTAGTTCCTAGATGATCTCAACCTGGGAGGGGAAGATTCCTACGTCTTTGGAGGCAGCAGGGCACAAAGTCCAGCCAGGGCCTCGCCCACATGGTGCCGCCCCGCCTGCACACACAGGGGCATTAATAGGTAATGACTCTTGTGATGAGGAAGAGCAGGGCAATGGAAACACAGAGACCTGAAGTCCTTTGAAGCCTGTAGGCCTGGTGAAGAGAAACAGGGGTTAACTCCAGGGCCCAGTCAGACACCAGGGACCCCATAGGTAATTCTTGAAAAAGACGCAAAGATAGTACCCATAGAAAAAAGGCCAAAGAGGACCTGACATTACTTTCTGCTCAGAGGCCGGAAACTGAAATTCAAGTCTGAGTCTTGCGGTGGGGATGAGAGGCTGTGCTCCTTTGAAGTGGGTTGCCTGAAATCTACACTCACCAAATGTCCCCGGCGGCTGAAATTTCTCCCCTCACGTCCTGCACAACAGGATGCACTGGTGAACAGTTTCATGCTCCCCTTGCTAGTCCCCACCCCCCAAACTCCTGCTGAATTCCCAGCTATCTCTCACCCTTAGAATACCCAAGCCCTCTGCCAGTATGAGCTTCTCCCTTTGTACTCCCACCAAACCTTGATCCCAACACTCAGCACCCAGCCGTGGGAAATTATTAATGTAGGGTCTGCCTCCGACCTGTGCAGCCAGCAATTTGAGGGTACAGATGAGGTCTGGCACAGAGTGGGTACTCCAAATACATTTATTAACTGAATGACTGCCCCCTGACCCTTAGCTCCTGTGGCCTCCACATTGGCTGGCTCCTCTGGCTCCCTGTGTGGAGAGAGGGTCAAGCACCCCGACTTTGCCTACCTCAGGCATGGGAAGAAGTTTGGCCGGGTCTAAAGACACTGTCCCATTGGGCTCTGTGATGGCCTCAGGGCACAGAGTCACCTGTCCCTCAGGCAAAGCCTGTGGCTGGCTCCAGATACCCCTAGCTTCATCCTTGGGCTCTGTAGCATCCTAGTCCTTGGGGGGAGGTTCACTGGGTTAACTCCAATGGTCCTCTCTGGCCTCAGGGTCTCAGCAGCTCCCACACAGCTCTGGAAATGCCCGGGGTGAAATCCAGGCTCTTTCAGTGAGGGCGTGAGAATCCTGAACCATCCATGAGGTCCCTTACTGGGACACACCAGGGGAGATGTGGCTCTGTCTGAAGAGTCTGGCTGACTCTCTAGGCCTCTTTCCTTCCTCCCACTGCCCCCTGGTCAGTGCCAGTTCTTCACCTGCTTCTCAGGCCCTAAGATATGCCTCGAAGTGGGAAAGGGGCTCCCTAAAGTGCTTCTAACTCATGTTTTGAGGTCAAAGGACAGAGACAAACAGCCTCCCTTCTCACCAATTCTCACCTCTCAAACACTGTCCCATACCCTCTCCATATGCTCCAACAACCCTGAGTTTGGGGCACTAGGAGCTGCGGGATTTGCCCACTGTGGGGCATGCAGGGAAGCACTCTGTCCTCAGGCCAAGGCTGGAAGGAATTCCAACCCCAGAGAAGTTCCCACCCTTGGAGAGCAGGAAAAGGGCACCTTCTGCAGACCGGGTTATGCGTTCCCACATCTGGAGTCCTAGTGCCCCCTCTCTTATTTTACCGGGATCCCTGGTGGAAACCAAACCGCACTCAGGGGTGCCAGTGCATCCAAACCCTTAAACCGAGCTGGAGAAGGGAGGGTGGCACTCAGTCTGACCATCCCCCACTCACCCAGTCCAGGACTCCAGGGTCCTGGACGCCTTAGGGGCCCCGAGCAGCTCTGACCTTGTGCCGGAATTCTCGAGCCACCTTCCGGTCCATGGCTGGGCCAGATCGTACAGCGTCGTCGCACAACTCGCTACTTCGGATCCCTGGCGGCCCCAAGCCGGCTGGAGCCGCAACCGAGATCCGCCAGCCCAGGGAGGGGTGAGGGCGTGGCCCGAGAGCGGTGGGGCGTGGCCGGGAGCGGTAGGGGCGGGGCATGGGCGGGGCCGCTGGGAAGCCTGAAACACCTATCCAGAAGCTCATCACCTCCCACCGACGCCCCCCGGGGGCAAATGGCCCATACTGCGTGTTTGTTGTGGTGGCGCGGGGATTGCGCTCGAGGCTGGCGCCTCCCTTGGAGCGTTTAATGAGATCTACACTGGTGTAGGGAGTTTAAATAGACCGTGATATTTAGGGAGTCCTCAACAAATGTGCATTGTTGTTGTCTATTATCTGGAGTTAGGCAGACCTGGGATCACACCTCAACCCTGTCACTCACTGCCAGTGAGACCTGGTGCTCCCCCAAACACAAGCAGTTGAGGGAGAGGCTCTCGGGAGGCATGGGGAGGTTTGAGACTTTTTTGTGTGGGTCCTGAGACTCACATCAGTGGGTAGGGATAATCTATGGATCCACAAATAGAAGCACATTCGTGCGCTCCTGAGGCCTTCACCCATTGCCAGGCATGTCACCTCCAGCGTAATTCTATAAGGCCTCCTCCATTGGCTTATTCCCATTAGGAAGAAATCTTTGATCTGTGAATCCCTTCAGGTTGGGTCTTATGAGGCTCATAGAGGCTTGAACCAGTGGGTGACAGTGCCCCTCCTGAACCAACTTCCCATTCCACATACCTAGCCCAACCCCACTCCGATCACACACACACACGCACACACACACACACTCACACACACTCACCAAGGCGTGGAAGGGCTTAGCAGTGACATCCTGTGTTATCGCTGACCTTTACCCAGGGCCCAGACCCCATCTGGTTGATTTCATTTATTCGATCAAAGCTTATTCAACTCCTAGGTCTAGTGCTGGGGTGCAAAGACAATAATGAACCAAGCCTGGGACAGACTGAGAGGAAAGAGTGGGTCAGGAAAGGGATGATAAAAACAGGTGTGAATGAGAGAGTGGGGACCAGGGACCTTGGAGCTTGTGCCTGGATTTAACCCATGGTGGGAGCGTGATCTGTTTGCACCATGTTTGGGGGCAGGGGACAGGGAGATGGACAGCAATGCAAAATACTAAACCACTTATAGTCATAACTTCAGGGACACCTAAAGACCCCCCTCCTTTTCATCTTATCCCCAATAGCTGAAGCTTTGCCAACAGACTTATTTTTTTGGGAGCTAAATTATTGCCTAGTTTAGGATATAAATCCTCCCTGGAGAAGAACCTTGAAATATTATCCATGTTCTCACCTTAGTATTAACTAGTTAAAGCAGAGATAAAAGGGGAAGACTTGTGGGATTTTCAAAGGTCTGGGAAAGACACATAAAATACATTCTCCAACTTACTTTGTTGATTTTCTATATCTCTTAACTAAGTCGTATGGCTGTTATTTCATCGAATCCAGGCAAAGAGGCAAATGCCCTTACAAGTGGAATGCAGTCCACTGGCCACCTCAATCATTTCCATGACCACCACTCCCACAGACTCTCTTCTTTAAATGCTTCATCTTTTGGTTTTGAGGACAGCACCAAGTCCTGGCCCTCCTCACCTATGAATGTTCCTTTTCAAGATTTGTCTTCACCCAATCTCTAACCAGGGTTCTTTAAGTCTCAATCCTTGATTCCCTCCTCTCTTTCTCACCTATGCCTATGGCTCCAAATACTCTGTGTGGGGATGTGTGCTTTATTTCCCACAATATTACAACGTGTTCTTACCACACAGAACAATGTGTGGTAAGAAATAGATGCTCAACAAAGTTGTTCAGTGGGTAAATAAATGAATGCATTCCAAGTTTATATTCCTGCCTAGGGGTCTACTGAGTCCACCACCACCATTATGGTAATTATCTGCAAGGCTTGCATCTGGTTTGTGTTCAGATTCTTAGTTAGCCAAGTGATACACAGGTTCCCAAGGCTCCCAAGCCCACATTTCCAACATTAAACAATTCCTCCTGGACAGGAAGTGTATTTTGTTCAAAATTAAAGTGTTTTTTTGTTTGTCTCTTTGTTTTTCATATGTTGTTGTTGTTAGTCTCCCCTTGATGGGATCAATAATATGGGAGTGTGAGGCACTTTTGTCATTTAGTCAGCATTTTCTGAGCTGGAGCCTGAACTAATGCTGGACATATAGAGGACTAAGTCATGATCCATTCCCTAGAGGTGCTCAAAATGGGTAGAGTAGGGACTTGGGGACCCAGGAAGCTGTAGTGGTGAGTGGTGGGAGCATAGGCTAGGATTCTGCAGGTTTGAGCCTTGGTTCTGCTACTGACAACGGACCACTGAGTGGAATGTCCCAGGGCTTCTGTAAAAGAGTGGAAGACCAGACTCACACAAGCGTCTTGGGTGTCTGGTGGAAGGGCTATCCAAAACCCAGGTTTCTGAGTTGAGGAGCTTTGAAGGGTAAGGGATGTTGGGGGCTGAACTGGCTACCTGCTTGCTTCCCCAGGGGACTTAAGGCTTAGTGATCTGAATCCAGCCTCCCCAGGGGAGGGCAGCCACAGGTCTTGTGGGGCAAAGGCTGGGCCGAGATCTGGCGCCTAAGTTATGGTAATGAGCTGGGTAGTCCTGTCACTCTAGCTCGGGGAGGAGCCAAGCGCCCGGGAGGAGGGGCCAAGGGAACCCTCGGGCTAGAGAGCGAGAGGGACTGCGGCCGCCGAGTGGAGGTGTGACCCTGCCGGGACAGACCCTCGGACCCCCGACCCTGCGCTCAGGCTTCCCAGTCTCCGTGCGCCCCTATGGGGGCCCCGTCCCCGTGCGCCCCCGCGCCCGCGCTTTGCCTGCTACTCGCCTGCGTCTGGCTGCCCTGGGGTGAGGCGGCGGGCCAGTCCCTGAGGGTGCAATCTCTCGGTGAGAAGGGATGTGGACTAGGGGAGGCCGGGGACTGGGGGAACGTTTAGGAGAACCGGCCTGGGCAGGTTTCAGAGAGGGAGGAAAAAGTGGTTTCAGGGAAGGCAGGGCGACCGCCAAGGAGAGGGTCGGCGGGGGCGCAGAAGGAAAAAGAGGAAAGCCACAGCCGAGGCAATGGGTCCCAACTTAGGTAGGATGGAAGAGACCCCAGGTGGGGAGCTAGAGAGAACTGGGGCACAGAGAGTAGGAGGAAAGAGGGAGACCCATGTAGGAGAGGTGGCCAGAGAGAGGGAGAAAGGATTGAAGTCTGCAGGGAGAGAGAATGGGGGGGATGCAGAAGAAGCTTCCTAGCAGGTGGGGGACAGGCGGTGGGAGATGCAACAAAGGGAAGCCCGGCTTGAGTGGAAAGCAATCCTCCTCCCCCAGCTGCAGCCCCCACAGCCCAGAGCAATGCAGCGCTGCAGCCGGAGCCTGCCCGGGATCCCAGGTGAGTAGGTGCAAGTCTCCCACCCCCCATCTTTATTTCTGGTGTGGATGACCCCAGGGTTTGAGCACAGAGGGTGGGAGGAGGCCTGGGGATTGGGGGGAGGTGGGGCCCATTCCTATGCCTTCGACCATGTCAGACTTGTTTCTCATCTAGCCACAGCTCTCAAGAGGTGACCCCTGCCATAGAGGATGCTACAATGGTGATAGGAGGCCAGGTAAGAGGAAGCCTGGGGAAGGGGGCTTCACTGGGCAGGGGCTTACTTCTCTCTGGGACTGGGGTTGGCAGGGAGCTCTGTAGGCTGCAGGAAGGCTGTCTCTGCAGTTATTTGGAAGAAAACTAACAGTGTTCCTAGTATATGTCTGAAGTATGGAAATTCATACTCTAGTCACACTTTCCTAATCTCTTGGGACTCTGTAGTCAGCTCAGTTTGGTTTGGGTTTTGTTTGTTTTGTTTTGTTTGGGGCGGAGGGCACTAAGACGCAATCAGGACATAGCCGAACTCTCCCCTGTCCTGGGGTAGAAGCACGAAGGTGAGGGTTTAGGTGAGTGGAGTTCGCTCCTCCCTACCTGGTCTGGGAGGGTACAAAGCCCTGTAAGAGGCCCCACTCCGTACCTTGAGCCGTGCTCCAGCAAGGATGCCTAGAGAGGAGAGACAAAAATCGGGCCACTTGGTGGGATTTGTGAGGAAGGGCTGGTTGGGTAGGAGAGCCCCAAACCATTATCTGTTGCCCACCCTCCCGGGATCCTCCATGCTTTCAGGAGAGGTAGTAGTTTGTTTTTGCCCTTTGCCAAATTTTTTTGGTCTCTGGATCAGGCAACTCAGGTCTTCTTTTCCATCCTGTCCTCTATGTGTCTTTTCCACAACATGTTACAACAGACATGTTACAAATCCAGCCCACCCAGAGCCAGGTCCCGCAGAGGATCTTGAACCTCAACTCGTGCACCTTAAGGATCAGCTCTGGGTGGCTCCTTGGCCAGCAGGGTGGGGAGTATTGCTTATAATAGAAAACAATGTGCCCCAGATACCTGCCTTTTGGAAATAGGTATGAAGACCCCAAGGCAGGAGGAGGGAATGTTTATTCTGTAAGGTGTGGATTATCTGGGCTCTTTATTTCTGTTTGCCCACTTTCCCAGCCCCCAAGTTTTAGAATCACAGTCAGATGCAGTTTGAGTTGAAAGATAATGTTGTTACTCTTTTTATATGCAATGAAATCAAGATAGGTGGATCACCTGCCGGGGCTCCCAGAAAGCAGGTGAAATAAGGTTTCCCGTGGAGCCAGCCTGTTTCCCCATGACAGGAATGCCCCCCAGGGCTCCAGGAATCCCAGTGTTTTAGTGGGGAAAATGATCCTTACCCACGCACCTCATTTCCCCTGGCAGGCTTCCTTCCTTAATGGATTCCAGGGTAAGCTTCCCTCCCTTTTCCTTTGGGAAGCATCTGGATCAGCCAACTCCAGTAGGTTTCTCACATTATTCCATAGAGCATATAAGGGGTCAGAATGGCCTTCCTTTAAAGCTCTTCAGCGGGGGTGGGGGAATGAGGTAATTAGCTAGAAACTGAACGTAGGGATCCTTCGAGGGCTTCTGCCTGGAATAACCTCATCGGTAAGGGTGAAGGTCCCAGACTAGCA